TGAGAGTCTTAACCCAATCAGTGATTTAATCCTCTGTGAGGGATTAACTGAGTGGTAACTGAAGTGGTGGGGTGTGGCTGGAGGAGGTGGGAATTGGGGTGTGGCTTTGGGTGTATATTTGTATCTGGTGAGTGGAGTCATGATCTCTGCTTCTAGATCTCCATGATGTGAGCTGCTTCCCTCTGCCACACACTCCGCCATGATGTTTAGCCTTATCTGGAGCCCTGAGAAATGAAACCAGCCTTCTATGGACTAAGACTTCAAATTAACTTTTCCTCCTTTATAGTTGTTCTGGTCAGATCCTTTAGTCACAGCAGCGAAAAAGCTGATTAAAACAATGCCGCTGTGGGCATTCTTCTACCGGTCATGCTGGTGGAAGGATAGAGTTGACATTGGGGAATGTTGGAGAAAAAAAAAATAGAAAGCTGGAAGATAGTGTTAAGAATTTAGAATTGAATTTTAGGGAATGACTGAGGAGTTAATACTGAAGGATTTTTGGTTGTGCTATGAAGGTGCTTTTTTTTGATGATTAGGAAAGTGAACAGCCTAAAGATTGAGAGGTGGTGTGTTGATGAATGAGTAGAATTTAGAGACCAGTGAGATAATGCAACAGCCCAGATGAGAGATGATGTTATGGTTTAGTTATGAGGTGTCACCCAAAAGCTCATGTATGAGGCAATGCAAGAAGGGTCAGGGGTGAAATGATCAATTATGAGAGTTGTAACCTCACCGGTGGATTAATCCACTGATATGGATTAACTGGGTGGTAACTACAGGCAGGTCGGGTGTGGCTGGCAGAAGTAGATCACTGGGGGTGTGACTTTGGGTTTGTTCTCAGTGAGTGCAGCTTGCTCGCTGCTTCCTGGTTGCCCATCTGCCCCATGGTCGGCCTCACTCAGGCCCTGAGCTATGGAGTTGCCTAACCATGGTCTGAACTTCTAAAACTGTGAGCCAAGCTTTTCCTCCTCTCAGTAATTATTGTTGGGTATTTTGGTCCCAACAACAAAAAGCCGACCAAAACAGATGATGAGGGATTACAGTAGAATGAAAAGAAAGTCAGATGTGAAGGCTCTTTCACACTGTGAAGCAAATAAAGCAGTCAAAAATAACTGCAAGGTTTTAAGCCTGTATACTAACTCTTTCACCTCCACTATATCCAGTCTGAAGGACTAATGTCTGAGATGTTATGGTAAGACTTCCACTGTCCACAAATGGTATATCTAGTGAAGTTTACAATTCTGATTTCATAGGGAAATGCCAGCTTCTAAGACCCCTTTCAAATATGAGGTTTCTGATACGACAACCAGATCAAAACCTGAAGTCAACTGATCTGAGTCTGACTATCACATGGGTAATGATACCATTGCTAATCAGGGAGCTAAAACCAATCCATCACTTCTAAAGATAGATCTCTAGGGAGAGACCATCACTTGTTGGTCTCAGTGATAATGGTCATGGAGTTGATGAGGATGTGAAATGGAAAATGGTTCCATTGGAGGATTGAAATAGGAAGTGCTCCTTTGGGAATCACTCCTTCAGTGGAAACACTTCCTATTTCTCCCATCAGCTCCATAACCATTTCTGGGCTTCAGAGAAAATTCAGGAAAAAAAAATGTTTCAAACTTATCAGAGCAAAGAAAACTTTATCAGTATGTTCATTTGTGCATGCAAATATTGAGCACCACTGTAAAATCCAGGAACTGAGCTTGGAGGTGAGCCACCATCTGTAAGACTCTTGACATACAGAAGAGATCCACTGAAAGAATTGGGAAGATAAGGATAAATTACAACTTGGGTGACATATTCTATTAGATAGTGTTGAGAGCATGTAAAAGAGTCAAATGGTAAAACCAGGAAAGGGAACTTTATTAAACTCAGGTCTGAAGTTAAATTGGGGACAGAGTAGAGTAGTGCTGGGGATGGTTCCTGCAGTTAAACAGGACTGAGGCAGGTGAGAGGAGCCAGGGTGAGTGGACACATTGCTGCATATGTAACTAGAAAGCCAGTGGGTAAGAGTTGGCTCATGCATGTCTTCAGACCATGTTTGAAGCATGCAGGCCTTTCTTTATACTAAAAGCAATGGAAAGCCAACACATTTTAAATACAGGAGTGATAGGATTAAATTTTAGATTATGAGACTGAAACTATGATCTAAAGCATTGTCAGGGTGGGAATGTGCAAGACACTGGTGGGTAGGCTGTTGGTAGTGCCATTGTTAGGTTCCTAAGAGCGAAGAAAAATAATTGACAAGCTGGGGAAATGAGCAAGGGAGACAGTGGCGTGAAAACCTCCCAGGTCTCTAGCTTGTATAACAAGATGCAAAGGACACCCATTTGAATACATTGTTTCATACAGTTACTTCTATTTGTTTGTAGACTTGACCTCTTCTTATCAAGTTAGACGTCCTTTAGTGTCCCTGAAATTCTATGTCATTAAACACGGGTAGGTAGTGTGGGTGCACACACACATTTAATAATCACACTCATGGGGGAGCCCCAAGCCCCTTTATCACCCTTCCTCAGAGTTAAGTAGCCACAATAAGAAACTATCTGTCAAAACAAAACGTTGTTTCTGAGAACACAATTTTACATGCACCGAAGGCCTGCCACAAAAATGTATTTAAAAAAAAAAAAAAGGAACAATTTGATTTTATTTCAAGGGTAAAATGACTGTTAAAAATACAAGGCCACCTCTTTGGCAATCCAAGGCAGACACTTCCTACACTGGTTAACGGAGTGAGGAAGATGAGAAAGCATTTGATGTAAGGTAATATATAATAACTCTGCTTTGTAAGTTAGAAACACTTTTGAATTCAAGATTCTGATGATTTTTTAAAAAAAATAGCTAGGGTGGGTGCTAATTTAAATAATGGAGCAACAGATGTTCTAGAAAGAAGTTAATAAATGAAATGGATTATAGTAATTGTTTTTCAAAACTGGGCTGAGCAACCCTACAAAGTACACAATCTAACTCAGAGCCCTAAGCTTGTAAGCTCTGGCAGTCCTATGAAACTTGAAAGAAACAGACTAGGAGGGGATGAGAAATTCTTCCAAGAAAAGTGAAAGGACATGAAATCCCCACATTATTAGCACTGCCCTCTCATTTCTCTTGCTACGGCAGTGTGTCCTGGCATCACTGAGGCTCTGTCCATTAATCCCAACCCTGAGTAGTAGGATGCACCCACACAAACTGAGGTCACACACCTAGGCTGAGCTCTGTGGGTGGAGAGCAGGGAGCATTTCTCCTGAAGGAAGGTTAGTCATTTGACACAGCAATTCACTTTATGAGAGTCCAGAGAAAATAACATGTAGTTTTTATTAAAGGCTGGATACCACTGTAACTAATGCTTCTATAGATCCTTGTGGTGTTAGCATGAAAGTACAGGTTATCAGTGGGCTGGACCAAGATGGCCTTTAGAGAACCATACGTTCTTATTTCCTGGATCTGAATCTTAGAACAAATCGAGAAGCATGTTTTTCTTTTCAATGAGGCAAACAGTTATCTTAAGTAGAATTCTTCAATTTCTTTCAAAGTGTAATATCTGAGGTCCTTTCCATACCATTGGTAGTTATGGCTAAACAAAATACTCTGAGATTACTTAAGTATTCAGTAAGTGTCATCCAATCTTACACACTATATTTGTTGATACTGTGGGAAGAAGTCATGACTTTTGTTTTATCAATAGACTATGGCAAAGGAGATGGGAAGCCACTCCTTTGGTTATGTTATACTAGATGATGTCTTGCTAGCAGACACAAGCTAAGAGTGTTTTATCTTATTGCTAGCTTTCAAGCAGGAAGCTTCCCAAATCCTACAACCACAAGTGAATTCTGCCAATGACGTGAGGAGCTCAGGAGTGTGTCCTTCCCCCAGTTGAGGCCTCGGATGAGACACAGCCCTAGCTGACACTTGATCAGTCTTAGAGAAACCTGAGAACCCATACCCAGATCCCTGATCCATAGAAACTAGGACTTAGTAGTTTGTTAGTTTGTAGTTTGTTTTCAGCTACAAATTTTGTGGCAATTTGGGATACAACAATAAAAATCAGATGTTGATACTAGAAGGGAGGTACTTCTGTCACAAGTACCTAAATATGTGGGAAAGGCTTTGGTACTGAGCCATGGGTGGAGGTTGGAGAATTTTGAAAAGTGTCATACAGAAGGAGAAGAAAGCTGCTAACTTTCTTTGCAATGTGTAATTTTATAAAAACAAAAAGAGTACTTATTGCTAAGGATGGGGGCACCTTGATAACATTGGGTCTGGTTTAAAATAGCTGACATGGGTACAACTTGAAGGGTACAAACAAAGCAGACCCAGTGTAGGCATCCTTTAGATGACACTATTTTCATATAAATGAAGTGTTAGTTTTTTTAAAACATATTTTTGATTCATTACAAACACAATTCAAGTGAAACATAAGGACCAGCTAGGAAATTGCTCTAAATAAGGCCAGGTCAAACCTAATAGTATGTTTTTCTTTTTGTTGTTTGTTTAAAATCAGAAAGGTAAATGCACGAGATGGTAGGAAACGTCAGTAGTACTGGGAACTTCACCCTAGTCCCCACCCCAAGAGGAGTCTGACGCGATTGAGCTGCGGGAACAGGCTGTCCAGGCTTTTGCAGTGCATGCAGTTTGATTTATTCAGCTGTGGAGCTGATGTCTGAAAGAGATGTCCCTTTGGTAGATTGAAAGCACCCAGAAACATACAGCCTCTTTCCTTATGAAAAAAAAATTAAAACTTTGAACATGAGATTCTATGATGTTCTTTTTGAAGTTGTTGCAGGCACCCAGGTATTTATATAGACATATTTTATTTCCATTTCCAAGGGTCCACACACTGTAGACCATGTACATTTGGTTTTTTTTTTTTTTAATCCTGTACAGACAGGATGTCTCTACAGTGTGGATGAATGAGGCCTTTGATGTCATGCAAATGTTAGCTCTGGGCTAAACACACATAATACTGAAATTATTAAACATGGAAAAATTAGAGCTTTCGATGCGTTTGCCATTTTTATTTCACTATGCAGAAACACCATTCACCATGGACTGTGATGCGTGGACAGTGTGGTGGAGAATATATCTTTTTGAAGGCTATTTATAACTAAACACTCAATAATTTTAATTACAGTGGAAATTCTGTACAGTTTAAGGCTTGGCTCTGAACTAGATTGTAAATATGGACCAGATTTGGAAACAAAACACTTCACGTCAAAGAAAAAAAAAATCAATGGAAAAATACAAGGAAAAAAAGAAACAAAGAAAAAACACAAAGCAATAGAAGTCCAACAGGTTGTCCTGGAGTGAAATTTCATAATATTGTAAACTAACAAAAACACAGGTTTTCTTCCCCCAAACAATGACAATTTACATATTTGGGTCTTGCTGGAGAACTCTGGGGAGCTTTCCAGATCAAATGCAGACCGAAGTGAACAATATTAACAACAAGAAAGAAATCACATGAATGATATGCTAAAATCAGTACTACCTTTTAACAAATTAAGTGAGATACACAAAGCAAGATTGTAAGCATTAAATATTTCCAGAGGGTCAGAGAGTCATTACTGTGTATGGATGATAATAATAAGAACAGATGAAACAAGTACAAGATTCAAGTTGTTTACTGAATAAACTCGGTTATTGGCACATCTAATCTGAGATCAGTCCGACACACTGGACCTAGACAGCTTCTAGCATTTTAGGGTAATCTTCATTTATCTGTAAACAAAAGATTTGTCACCTAGGAAATTGCAGTTTTGTTGAGACTTTAATAATAATAAACTATGAAAGGTATGGGTTGTTTTTTTGTGTGTGTGTTACATGAGATCACGGTTTATATTGTTGGTTATGGAACGTGCAGGTAGAGCTGGAAACTGAGATGATTTTGTGAAAATTAAAAATGCTGCTCTTTTGTAATTTTATCGTTGCTTCATGCAATATCAGTTTAGTGATGCTGATTCGGATTGCTTTATTATGGGAAGATCTCTCTGCCAGTGTCTTTATTAATAGTCAAGGTCAATTCTTCTGGATTGGAATTTTCCACGGACAGATACAAGTCAGTTGGGTTAGAAGAGGGAACTCCATATAGGCTCTGGTTTTCCTAATGGTTTGCATGACTGGATTCATGTGCAAGCTAAATTATTCCTGCAGAAAAGAGATTCGATTAGTTATCCATCAGAAAACACGCGAGAAGTTTGCTCAGATCAAGGTCACAGAAAAGTACCTTGGATGTTAAAATTATTCTTTTTTTTTTTGACAAGATACTATAACACTCCATTCCAAGCCACTATGCTTTCTCTTCAATAATGACAACATACCCAAGTGGCTAAAGCTTACTGAAGGAAATCTTTTTTTTTCCTTTACATTCTATCTTCCCAATATATTATTAGTTTGAATGTAGTAAGTGATTTTTGATATTTCTGTGTTTGTCCATCTAAATGTTTCTTAAATCGAGGTTACAAAGCTTATGAAGTCTCTTCAATGTTTTATCCCATTAAGCACAGGTGCAAATAGCTCCCTGTTGCACTCAGCATTCAGAGCCCTCTAAGGGATGCTCACAGGCCCATGAGTTCTTGCACAGCAGGTCAGTATGCATGGCAAGTCTGTGCACACACACAGGAGACTGTTGGTCTGCTCATGATGCTGGCCACACAGCAGCTCGCAAGGCATGCACTTTCTGAAGGAAAACAGGATCACCAGGCTGCATTTTTGCTTTCTCCTGAGACAAGAGTATACTAGGGGGAAAGTCATCCCACATAAGCAGGAAATGTACGGACACCCAAAAAGAAAGTGTCCAGGTTCTGAATTAACAAATCGAAATCAAACAACGAACCAACCAACCAACCAAACAAACAAAAAAACCCCAAAGCATGAGTAGGCATAGTCAAAGAGCAAGCTACCAAGAAACAAGGTCATCAAAAGGAGAAAGGGGTGTATTTAATTTCCCTGGTAGCTGGAACACACAAATGGCATCTCTCTGAACAAAAACTGCTTTAGTTCTGAGTACACAGGAAGTGAAATCGAATTTGACATTTCAAATTTGGATATTGTAAAGAGTGCAGGGTCTGGATTTAAAGGGAATAGTGGTGAGACCACTCAAGCAGACTCTGCTCTCCCTTTCTCCTCTAACTGGCAGTAGCTGCAAAACATACCCAAGTATGGAATTTCCAAATCTCAAGACAAACTGGCACCTGCAGACCAATTCTTCACCCTCTTGGTAACCAGCCCCCGAAATACCAGTGAGAGGAGAAAATAGGAAGAGGAGGATCAGGCAAAGGAGGAGGGGGAAGTGCCCCATGCCACATGCCAGCCTAGGCAAGCCTAGAGAATGAGCATCACCTCTTACCTCTGGTCAATCCTCTCCATCTTCTGGTGTGATCTCTGTCTCTTTATGGACCACTACTTTGGTCACTGACATGTCAGGGTGCTGCTCTTTGGCCTCTTTAATTGCCTGAGCCAGAGCCTATCCCCAGGAAATCACAGAAGGGCAAAAACAGAAAGGAGTCGGACATGCATGATCACTAGCAAGGTGTAGACTTACGAGCTAATTCTACATCCACAATTTACAAATGAGGTACAATGATTACAAAAGGAATCAAAAATCATATACAGGAAAGCTAATTCAGAAAGATTTTTAGAGTACATGCTGAACTAGAAGAATAGCATTGGAAACTAAAGGGCAAACATGTTTGTCTTTGTGTCTCTGCTATGGGATTTACCATCTCACATAACACTACCTGGTCATGGTCAATGTCCGCATCTCCTGTGATGACTATTCGCTTCTCAATTCTCGTCTCTGAAATGCCTCCTTTCACAGTCTGAACGAAACAAAGAGAAGCTTCGTGAATCAGCTTACTGGCAGGAATGATCCCCATTCCACAGAGGGAATGGCAGAAAATGGTGAGAGTTTTAGATAATATCACCAACTGAGATAGAATTTTCCAGCAGTTATTTAACATGTTTAATTTCAGAAGTGAGGATTGAGTGTAGTCCTTTGGGTTTGGCTAGCTAGTTTTTCTTGAAGACCCACCCATGCTCAGAACTGGAATGAATGTTAGGCACAGGACACCAGAAAGAATATTCCTGCTGGGTGCGGGGGATGCATGCCTGTAATCCCAGTGGCTCGGGGAGCTGAGACAGGAGGATGGTGGGTTCAAAGCCAGCCTCAGCAATAGTGAGGTTCTAAGTGACTCAGCAAGACCCTCCCTGTCTCTAAATAAAATACAAAATAGGGCTGGGGATGGCTCAGTGGTTGAGTGTCTCTGAGTTCAAGCCCTAGTACCCGTACCTCCACCTCCCCCATTAAAAAAGGAAAGAATATTCCATCATTATGGAGCCAAGTGCATCACAAACCTAAAAATTGGAGACTCTCCCTCTGCAGCTATCCTGGGCATCCTGACAGTCAATTAACTATCAACGAATCTGTCAGAAGTTCTGCATGAACACCATCCCCTAGCTCTCAAGGTCTGCGCTCTCACTTACTTTGGTGATGTGCGTGGTGGTGGTGGTACTGGTGGTTTCCGATGTGATTGTCTGTGCGCTCATCAGCACACCTGGCTCCAGATCAGCCCCAGGATCCACCTGAAGCAAGGGCAGGAACAGATACCACCCTCAGGTGTTTACATTTCCTCTTTGGGAGTTAGCTATGTTATTTAAAGCATTAAAATGACTGAAGTATAGTCAGCCCTCTGAATCTATGTGTTTCATATCTGAGGATTCAACCAAGTATTCAGTAAAAAACTGCAGCTGTACTGAACACATACTGATTTTTATTCCTTGTCAGTATTCCCTAAATAACACAGCACAACTCTTTACAGGGCATTTATACCATACTAGGTATTTTATGGCATCTAGAAATGAGTTAAAGTGCGTGAGGTATGTGAATATGTTTTATGAATAAATGATATAGCATTTTATATAAGCAACTTGAGCATCTGCAGTTTTTAGTGTCCATGAAGGTCCCCCCCAACAGATGGAGAAGGATGACCTTCTCTCACAATCACTGTGCAGAACCTGGGAGCTGAACACAGCTAGAGCTAACTGGCATTAAAAACAAACAAACAACAACCCGGTGAAGTCACTTGCTACTTTATGATCAGTAATAAAATGACAATTATTGCATTTCTCTCTGTAGAGATGGTCTGGCTGCAGGATCCTCTAGGTCTCATGAATTAAATATTATGTAGCTATACTTAAGTGCACTCAACCCTAAGAGGAGGAAAATGTAAAGTGCCAGGGATCTGGCCTTCAGAGACTGTCTTACCTGTGATGATTCATATGTGATGGTTTTTGTTTCTGTGTGAACTACTGGCACTTCCTTGGTAGAAACTTCTAGCTTTACTCCTCCTGTGGGAACACTGCCATAACTGATGGTTTCCATCTTCACAGTTGATGACTGTGCCAACAGGAAGTGAACAGATGGCTATTACAGTTTGAACCAACACACCTTTGTTTTGTTTTGTTTTTCTCTCCTCTTTGGTACTTTAGTACTTGATAAAAGCACAGGTTAACATGAAATCAGTGTTCACACATTACACGGGGATAAACTGAAGAATAAGGCACACAACAGACAAATGTCAAATCATCTCCCAAAACCCCATAGCATTATTCATAAGGAATGTTTGAGGTGAAGAAAAGATTTTGAAGGAATTTTAAAAAAGTTTTCATGTTCTCTCTCTTCAATCTTTTAAACTCATCCATAAATATGCCTTTAAATTAATCACTGTTAAAAGAAGGAACAAAGCATGAAGACATCAACTCTCCAAATACTTTGTGAATCTTCCTAAAAGTGGATAAAGAATAAACTACACTGATATTTCACCTTATTCCTCAGAATGGCAATGATCAAGAATATAAGTAACAATAAATGTTAGGGAGGATGTGGGGGAAAAGTTATACATTACTGGTGGGACTGCAAATTGATGGAAAGCAGTATGGAAATTCCTCAGAAAACTTGGAATGGAACCACCATTTGACCCAGTCATCCCACTCCTTGGTATATACCCAAAGGACTTAAAATCAACATATTACAGTGATGTAGCCACATCAATGTTTACAGCAGCTCAATTCATAATAGTTAAGCTATGGAACCAAGCTAGGTGCCCTTCATCAGATGAATGGATAAAGAATATGCATGTGTGTGTGTGTGTGTGTGTGTGTGTATATATATATAAAATAATGCTATGCATTATTAACAACCAATATATATACATAATGGAATATTATTCAGTCATAAGAATGACTTTATGACCTTTGTTGGTAAATGGGAGGAACTGGAGACTATCATGCTAAGTGAAATAAGCTAACCTCAAAAAAACCAAAGGCTAAATTTTCTTTCTGATATGCAGATGCTGACTCACAATATGTCTGTGGGGAGGAGGGAAGATTTGCTGGATTGGACAGCAGGGGGTGGGGTAGGGGCGGGGGAAGGGAGAAGGGATGGGAATGGGAAGACAGTAGAATGAATTGGACATAACTTTACTATATTCATATATGAATACGTGACCAGTGTAACTCTACATCATATACAACCAAAATAATTGGAAGTTATATTCCATGTACATATGATATGTCAAAATACATTCTACTGTCATGTATAAAAAGAAAAATACAAAAAAAAAAAAAAGAACTAAGTCTTGACACTTGGAGAATGGAAAGGCATAGTCTTTGGTCCTTCTGGATAAGTACACTACTCAGGAATAAGACTATCAGAATTTCTAATATCCTGGCTCACGATGCTTTCTCCAGATTGGCTGCCAATTAGACTTTCAATGACAGAAACCAGTTCCTGGAGCTATGCATTATTAACAACCAATAGATATGTCTGTAAATGACCCCAAAGCTGAAAACCAGCATGAAGGCCCCTAATTGCCATATGCAAAGGAACCAGGCTAAACAAACCACATGGGAAAGGCAGGAGATTGAACTTAGCTCCATCTGTATGCTGATCAAAATTTCAGGGCACTACATTATCAGTTTAGTGTTCAGAGTAACGACAGCTACTAGTTACCTCAAAATGAGGTTTTTGTTCTGAAGTTTCAGAAACCTGGGTGGCTGCACCCTGCTCCTCTTCTTGCTCCTGGGAAGCACGGGCTGTTTCTTCTTGCTCAGATCCAGCCTTAGCAGACTCTTCCTGTCTTTCCTCTTTGGACCCCTCCGTCACAGCAGAGCCTTCCTTCTCTTTCACACTGACTGCTTCAGTAGGTATGGGCTGCGCTGGAGCATCTGCATCTTCCCCAGCTGTGTAAGAAGCATCCCCACTCGCGTGCACGTTCATCACACGCCTCTCCTCCACCAACACAGTTTCCTGCACCACCTTCTCAGTGCTGAGTGGCTGGGGGTGTGGGGTGGTTTCTGTCTCTGTTTCACTGGACTCGATCTTGGTTTCCACTTTCTGTATGGGAAAACAGTGTGGCATCAGAGTGATTTTCCTTAAGTCCAAAGGTCAAAGAAACAAAAATAAAAATTAAAAAAAAAAAAGAAAAATGAAAGCCGCCACTCACTACAATGATTAAAGCCAGCATCAGTTGCTTATAATCAGAAACACTGATAGAAATTATATATTAGCTTCCATTCCTCCCACCAGAAGCTTTGCTGCATGCCTCCTGCTAAACATACACACTGGAGCCTATGCTGCTACTCCACGGCATCCACAAAAGAAAACAGAATAAAATATGCAAGTGAAAAACAATGAACGGAAGCATCATAGCACATTTGCATTGGTTCTGGCTGTTTTTCTCAGACCCAACAGATGAGATAAAATGCTTCTAAAAATTAAATGCTATTACAATTTCTCAATGTGATTGCCTCTGGAATATGTGAGGTGTATTCTTGACATGGAACGAAAGGCATATGACCAAGCAGGCACAAAGGACAATCACGGAAGACACCTTGGAATGTTGAATGCAAAACACGAACACACAACCCGCCCCCCCAAAGGCACAGAGCAAGGCAGATGAGAACATTCAGAAACCCCAGGATGGAAGCAAATGGCCACCTGCACCCAGCTTTGAGAAGTAGAAGTAACCCCTCCTATGAATTCTGTTGGTTTTCGCGCAGACTCTAATAAACTGAAGATTTCAGAGCCATCCATGAGCTTTTCACCAGAAGTCTGCTTAGTCTGAGAGGACAAAGAAATGGACAGAGTCAAGCACAAGAGACAGACACATACTTAGCCACATACACATTCACAGCTTGTTAGACAAAATTGTAGGCAGAGGAAAAAAAAAGAAAGGAGAAATGAAGGAATCCAAGATACGGACTGTGGAAACAGAAAAGAATGGGAAATAAAATAGCAAAGTGGGGTGACCATGAGCTGTTGTTTGGTAAAGCAGAGAGTTATTAGGAACAGGGTAGTGCTGATTTAAGCAGATTTTTTTTTTTTTCTCCTTCATTGCAAGCCACAGCAGCGCTATCAAATCTTGGGAACGGGCAGCTGGAAATAAAACAGAAAAGTGTTTTAATGCTGACTTTAGACTGCGGTATTGACTCAACCATGAAAAAAAATCATAAAGCTGGGTTGGCTGCTCTCAACATAAAGCCAAGCAGCAAGAGAAACGGAAAGGTTTGGGGTGGAAGGGTACTGCTTCAAATAACATCATGCTGGAATCTTAAACTGCAACCGAATGAGAGTTGCTGGTTACCACCACTCGGGACGCGGACGACTCGGTGACATAATGAGCAGTAGCAACAGTAAAGGCCGGTTCCTGGGAATATCTCCACTCGGACAGGCTCTTCCTTCGGGGACCAAAGAGTCCCACTTTTAAGACCTCACTATCTGGTACTTGCTCTGTTATGCTGTACCGGGCACTTTCTGGGCGAGGGTGGACGGCCACACCCTCCCCTGGCTTTGCAGCCTTCTGGAGGTCATCCTCTTCAGGACTCTGCCGGCGAGACTCGGCTTCCTTGATGGGAGCCAGGGATTCTGACAATTTCCGCTTTGTCGTCTGGACCTCGGGTCCTCGCCTGGACTTGTCATCGGCCAGGGACTCCAGGACCTCGTATTCTGTCAGGATGGAAACAGCCTTCCCTGACTCTGACACGCCTCTCTCCATTTTCTGAAGGGCCTCTAGCGAGGAGGGCTGCGCTCCTCTCTCCCCATCTTTGGTTTTCCCAGTCATAGTAACGATTCTTCCAGAGACGGTGTCGTAGGATTTTCCTAGAGTGTATATTTTCTGTTTGTTTTCTTCTTTCAGTTGCAATTCTCGGGCCAAATCATCGAAGCTCTGCATTTCAACAGTGCTAGATTTCAGAATGTCCGCTGGGATGTCACCAGTTCTACTGCTCACCGTCACCACCTTGTAAGTCACAATCTTTTTCGAATCACCACCAACTACCTCAGTGGGTATTTTGTCTACAATAACCCAATCCTCTGTGCCCTATATTTAAAATATAAAAGCTAAATTAGAAATTCTGATGATATCCCATTTCTAAAATAAGAACCCTTTAAGAAAATCAGGCCCGGGGCTACACATAGGTCTGCAATGGGACTGCCCAGGACGGTGTTATTAATCTAAAAATTATGGCTATTATCTCTTTTCCTCTGAAATTAACTAACTATAACCTTCATCCTGAAATGTATCCTGCAGGGTATGGTTACAATTTCATATTTCTTTAACAGGAACAGAACTTCTTGGTAAATTTTGCAAGGAATCTATCTGCAAGATGCACATTTGATTATTTTGTATTTCAAGATTAGATAACATTATTGAAGTTATTGTGCAAGTTTTTCATAATAAATACAATAATAAAGTTCATATGCCATTAATTTCCACAAAGAACTTTCCAACATTCTACAAATTTCTGTAAACATCACTTTCCACGTTTGTAGATTGTGCTTCCTTATATGGGGAAGGGAATCCATGACCGCAATTATCGTTCAAATAATATTGAGCGCACCTGTGTTCACAGCATCCTTACGAAACATTCCCCACTGATCAGACACTTTGGGATCTTTTTAAAATAAGCCTGAGAGGTCTGTTCAGGGTCCCGATCTTAATTACAGCTGAAGTTCACTGTCTCAGTAGTCTGACTTCCTCTTTGCTTAATGTTAGCTCCAACAAAGCAGATTAAAGTTAAGAAAACTTTGCATTCAGGGAGACCGAATAGGAAGTGATAGGTTAACAGCTGACCAGTTTAACAGGTGACAAAGGGAAGAGCAATTAAACCAGAAGGAGGTGAACAGCTTGGTTTACTAGAAAGTTTTTTATTTTTGTACTTATTGTAGCCTGGAAACTTGAATCTAGAAATAAGTATGCCTTAAGAAGAATGACCACAGTTTGATCTACATGTTGGTGTTATACTAAATGAAATGAATTGAAAAAAATAACCTCTAGGGCCGATGGGACAGTTTTCTGGAAAATTATTTGACGAGAAGTAGCCACAGAATCAGCAGAGTCTCCTTCCTGTATTTTCTTAATCACACTTGGCTAGTGGGAAAAACCAATACAAGTTCAGAACTTTCAAAGTCAATCAAGTCATCTAAATTAGCGCCACTCTACGGGTAAAAACAGGCAGTACAAACTTCAGTAAGATTATTACTAGAAAGTACAATCAAAATGCTTCAATGGTAATATGTAATCACCTAGGATTAGAAATCATAAAGAAATGATGCATAAATGATAACCAACATATTAAAATTATTTTCCCCTTCCCCAGAGCCTAAGCAAAAATAATACACTTACCTTAGTTTGAAACAAGATAATTTTAAAAGGAAAATAAAAACTAAAGATACTTTAATGACACTGAAGTCTGAAGAACAGTTCCTTTAGAAAATCGTTTTTGCTTGTTTGTTTGTTTGTTTTACCTGAGACTCAAGGAATGGAGCACTTCCTTGCTGCAAAAATATAACTTTTTCAGAAATCTCTCTTTCTTCTTTGGTCTGTTTGAATAAAGGGGGTTGGGTTGGAGAAGAGGAAGTAGACAATTTCCAAAAAGGCAAGTTAGGAAGAGAGTCCTTTAACTGTATATCCATATATATATATGGATATATACGTATATATCCATATATTCATATATATATATAATTTTGTTTTTCCTGAAGAAGTAAATCATTGTTATTAATGTAAGAAATAGTCTGATACCATCTCAAAAGTTAAAAATTATTTACAAACAGCAGTAGATTATTTTATGAAAGTTGGATGGTCATATGGCTCAAACATTTTTCCATTTCTATGATGACAGAATATGCTAGAGGGAAATAAAGGGTTTCTTTACATTTGAACAGTGTTTGTGTTAGTTACTTGCAAAATCATGAGTACTTAAAATAAAAAAGGAAGAAATTTTAAAAATTTAAGTAGGAAACACATTTTTACTCAGGTGCGCCTGCTGTAGAGCAAGGAAATACACTCAAGGTTGTTGGCTCATTAGCTGCCAATTTGAATAAGCTCAGGTGGACTTAGACTGATTGCTTTGTTGTTCAACAAATAAACAAAAATTCAAGTTTTTTTTGAACTTTTATAACATGGTGAATAAATTGTGAAGTTAATTTAAGAATATCTTAAATTAAGCAGACTAAATCATACTTTTCTTTATAGAATTAAGAAACATTAAAGTAAATATTTCATGTTAGGCACTAGCTTTTTATTTCTTAAACTACCTGATTTTTTTCTTTAATTCAAGTGGCAATACAGTAGCTACCAAGTCTATCTTTGCACAGAGTATAGCTCTACAGAGTAGGAACTGAAGGATATTTTGGAAAATTAGTCTAAAAACAAATCATAGAATGTTCAAAGTTTCTAGAACAATGGAACTCTTTCAATGAATCTTATCATTATAAACAATATAATTTTAGGAAACTACTTAAAGTTCCTGTTTACCTACTAATGTATTGATAAGTACTACATCGAATGGTTTGCCTGCAAGAGGTTGTAGTGGAACATCTGGCACTTACTTCCTACAGGAGCTACTGAGATTTTGACAGTGCCATACTCACATGACCCTTCCTAATGAGAGATAAAAAAACATTATTCGAAGGAGAAAAAAAAATTCTGTCCTGCTGCAATTTTGAAGGAAGGCATTGGAAAACATAAAATGTGCTATATGGCATCATGACATGTAGATCATCTGATGCTTTCTTCCTTCCTTTTAAAACTTTCAATCATAGCCTCTTTTTCAAATAGAAATGAGAAACATGAAGGAAAGGTCAAAATTACTGGTACTTTTTAGAATAACATTTCTGGGCCTCTAATTATAATCACAGAACTACATCTTATTCCTCATACTATTCCCAAGATAAAAGCTTTTTTTAAAAAAATGCCCAGTGGCTAAAGTGGTTTTCGGTATACTCTGTTGTCTGAAACAAACTAATTTTTAAAATGTCTGTGTGTCTTACCATTGGAAATGTCAGCAAGGGCTACATGTAGAACTGTGTATGTCCATAACAGAAACAATATACCAAAAAGGGATATAGATCTGAGATTTAACTTTTAAACATGGCCAACCTTCCAACCCAACTACTTCAGCTACTAGAGAGTAGTTACTACTAATTGAAGTGCTGATAAAGAGAAGCTGCTAATCTAAAAGAGGATTTAACATTAGAGTTCAGAAAATAATCAGATAGTATATTCCAACTGTTATAACATTAGTTTCTTAAACATTCATCTCTGTATTATACTTGGGAAACAAGGTCCTATTTCTGGCACACCTTTATAAAACTGTCATTCACTCTTGGGTGATTAAGGGTCTCTACAAATAAATTTTAGGGAGCTGGGCACAGTAGTGCACGCCTGTAACCCCAGCAGCTCAGGAGGCTGAGGGAGGAGGATCGTGAGTTCAAAGCCAGCCTCAGCTACTTAGAGAGGCTTGAAGCAGCTTAGCAAGATCCTGTCTCAAAAGAAAAAAAATGGGCTGGGGATGTGGCTCAGTGTTTGAATAGCTCTGGGTTCAATCCCTGTTACCAAATATATTTAGGGAGCAAGTGAATTTGCAAATTCAGAATCTGTGGATAATGAGAATCAACTATGCTAAGTATCTAGCTCAAGGAGTTACATAGTGAACACACACCTGTTAATCTACCACTCCCATGAAACAGAGGACAATATTGGTGCTGCACAGGTATTGATGGATACTGATTTAGGGCTGGGATTTGAAAACTTTGGGTATTCAAGTAACCACTAAGGAATATATCCCTAACATGGGCTAGGCCTATGTGCATTATAAAAGGCCATTGTGGAAATATGTGTTGACAGAGAAGCACAGAAAAGGTACCAATATCCATGGAAAGTTCATTATAGTCAAAATATCACCTCCTTAAATTATAATATTTTGGAGTTTATCCAACATCATTTTCTAAGAATCAGGATTAAATCAGAAGTAAAAAAATAGATATTTTACCATTCTAATGGCTTTGATTTTTAAAAAGTCCCCCTTGTTTTTATCACCACCCTTTAACTTCTCTAATAAGCTAAAACCTAAAACATTCAAAGTGGCTACCACCTGACATTTTCTTAAGTATTAGCAATGGGAAGAGACATTTTGCTCCTTTTGTCTGTTATGCTTTGGGTAGCTACTTATTATGTATGTTTGTAACTTAGTCCAGTTGTCTGACATCTTTAGGGCTAGCACATTATTCTAAAAGAAATGGCAAAAATTAGGGTGAGGCTAAACTTGAACAATTAAAATAAAATTTATGACAGCATAACTGACAAGTGGTTTTCTTAACAAGGCAAGAACTATAATATTTAAATCAAACATGGAATGAGAAAATTTTGTCTCTTGAAACTCAAGTCCTCTCAATGGCAGTGGTGTTTCGTGGTACAGGCGTACCTTGGGTAAAGGTACTTTTCATTTATTCTGCATAAAAGGCCCTTTACAAAGTAATTCCCATGGGCACTTTTTGGCTGGTATTGAAATTGTCATGAATACAGCAATAGTGAGATCTTGGTCACTTTGATAAAAAGTTTTCAAAGGCGGTTTAGAAAACGATCAACAATGAGCGTAATTCGATTCTTAATTTCACTGCAAGGACCTGAATGTGGCCTACAGATCACTGTTTAAAGGCTTTTTCACACATAAAGGCATAAGTTCTAATTTTCTGTTCTGTGTCAGCTTCCTGGACAAACAGTTCACAATAAAGGGGTCTTGGTTAAGAAGGAGATTAACCAAAACAATGCCCAAAATATGCAGTTTTCTAAACCTGCTTGTTTTGGAAGAGAGATAAAGCAAAATGATATCTAACAGTAGATAGTAATCTGTGGGTCCCACACAATGGGAGCCCTGAAATAACACCAGCTGTACCCTTACTATGGCTATATATTGAAAGAGAGCTTTTCTATATGGAAAAGCTTTACTTAAGTACCACCAAAATGTGAGCACTGTATGCTAGTAAGGGGGGATGACTTCTCTGCCTACTCTGATTCCTTACCCTCTCCTAGATGGAGAGCCCTTTTCCTATGTATTTATTTTAACTCTCTTTGGTCACATGCAGATTATATTCCTTACAGTTTACCTTTATAATATTCTTCGGAATTTTATGCTTGTATGAACTGGATATTTTTTTCCTTTGTCTTTGTCCCTGAAAAGATTCCATTTTCACTAGATATGGTTGTGTTAAACCTTACTTAAAAAGAAATTTGTCAGCTGAGTGCGGTGGCACACGCCTGTAATCCCAGTGGCTTGGGAGGCTGAGGCAGGAGGATCGCAAGTTCAAAGCCAGCCTCGGGGTAATGGTGAGGCACTACATAACTCAGTGAGACCCTGTCTCTAAATAAAATACAAAAAGGGATGGGGATGTGCCCCAGGGGTTGACTGAGTGCCCAGTTCAATCCCCAGTACCAAAAAGAAAAAAAAAGAAAAAAAGGAAATTTGTCCTGTAATTTCCCCATTAAAAAAAGTCAAATAAAAACCAATTACAAATCAGTTAAAATAATCAGTTATCAGAAAAATCAAATAATGTGTACTGAAATGCTAACAACTTCTGATCACTCAAACAGCAGATGATCTCAGTAGCTCCCACCTTGCAACTGATGAGAAACATACATGGGTTTTCAGGTCATTCATCAGTGGAGAAGGAGGAAGGACATTTACAAAAAGTACCTGTTCACTATGATAGTATCTTAATTTCTCTGCTGTAAAATACAGGTTTTTTTGGTCAGAATCAGCCAGTTGGCACTACAGTCTGCCTGTGGCTTTATGCTCATTGCCAGCACCACCTGAAACCATGCTTTTTGGCCACCTATTCATTTAATTTGCAGCTTTCCTCTGGAGCACAGAGCATCTCAATTCAGGATATATATATATAGAAGTTTACTCAGAAGTTTGCCAAATCCTTTTCCTAGTTTCAGACTCTGTAGAGAAGTGAAACCAGTGAACAGAAGACAATTCCAACCCAAAGCTTGAATACTGACCTCTTCGGGTACCAGTGGCTCGATCATGGGTGCATCCTCCTGCCTGGCAGCCAGTCGCACTGGGGAGGTAGAAAGCCTCTTTTCCCACTCATTCGTTACGGCAGTGTCTGTTGAGGTTTCTAAGAAGGTTCTTTTCAGCTCGCTAATGTTGGTCTGATGTTTCATCAGTTCATCTTGAGTTTTATCTAGCTCCTACATTCGGAACATAAAGAATCCAACAGTCAGCCTTTCATGTTGGCTTTCAACTTCAAAAAAAAAAAAAAAAAAAAAAAAAGTCAAGTCAATCTCATTAGTAGTCAAAAGAAAATAATTTTGAAGAGGGTTCATGACACTACCACACACACACTCTGGTGAAAATGTGATATTTTCTAGAAGAGAGAAAAGAAATCAAATTCACACAAGCATAAAAAAACAAAAGAATTTTGAAAGGTAAAAACTGTAAGGAATGTAATGCACATGTGACCAAAGAGAACTAAATTAAGTCCACACAGAAGAAAAAGGGATCTACATCTAGGAGAGGATAAGGAATCAGAGTAGGCTGAGAAGTCATCCCCACTTATTAACAGATGAGCACACAGTTCATGCATCATGGTACGAGCCCACAGGTAAGCCACTACGGGGGAAAAAACAACACGCACAAACATGCACTGGTATATACCAATACCAACCTCTAACATAAGATTACTATGTTTGACATACACATTTTCACCCTTTATTCGCTTAATCAGACTATTCTGAAAAAAGTGGAGAAGAAAGGGAAAGGTAAGGGACACCGTAGTCAAGGGAACAAACTCCATCCTGCGCACTGCACCATCGACATGGTAACAGCTACAGAGCATGCTGAGATCTGAACATCGTACACAGACCATGACTTATCACGCACTGGTATGTGTTTTACTTTTAATTTTCTACCTGTGCCTTGAGCTCTGCATCTTCCTCCTGGTCCGACTGCCAGCATCAAGAAAGAGTGGGAAATAAAGTCTTACCATGCAATTTACTCTGAGATTAGAGAACTCAAAAGCCCTATATAAACTTGCTAAGTGGAGGCACTGGTTTGCACTTGTGTAATGATGCAGTTCTTTCTTATGCACAATCCACAACACTCTCACAAATTATGAAGCTTAACAAGCACTGAGAAGGGAAAGATTTCCTGCCCATTGGGTCTTTGGTGTTTTGATGAGCAGATGTACGTGGTTGGGAAGGTGGCAGCAAGGGCTTGGTAGGGTGTTCTTAATGAACATCACCAATGGTTCAGGAGGTATGGGGAGCCAGATTACAATTTCTAAGAAGGGCTATGGCTACGTGGTAATGATCGCTACCTTACAGTGGATGAGTCTTTACAAGAGTCCTATGAGGTTAGCTACACAACCCCCAATTTGTGGATCAAAGAACTGAGGCTGGAAGAATTAAACACAGAGATTCTTAAATTTTAAAACTTATAAGAACCTTGATTTTATTTTTTTTCATATTTTTAGTTATAGTTGGACTCAATATCTTTATTGATTTATTTTTATGTGGTGCTAAGGTTCGAACCCAGGGCCTTGCACGTGCTAAATGAGTGCTCTACTGCTAAGCCACAACTCCAGCCCTAAGAACCTTGATTTTTCTAAGGAAGAAAAAAATTAAAAAAAGAAGAAAAAGAAATGAACTGTCATCAATAGCAGCATCATTCCTTTAAAATAAGGACAACTTTTGAGTTAAAAAAGTACTAAAATATTTTTAGAAAATACCCCGAGCTACTACATTATCCTTCTTTGTCTAATTTCAACAACCTGCCTACAACTTGGACATGTGAGTACCAGTAATTAGGTAAGTGTGCCAAGCCACAGGTTGCATGGTAAAGCTGTGCTTCTCATAGGGCTTTCTGACCCAGAGCCTGGGCTTTGGGCCACTGTGCTCCAAGTAGACATGCAGAGTGAAATGACAGGTAAAACAAGGGTCACTCTCAAGCAAGTGGCCTTAAGCATATAATTTCAATTACAAGGGTCTCAGTTTCCTTATCTGCCAGTGGGGTCGAGTACCTACTCTGTAGACCCCATGCATTGGCCATATAAAGGGAAGGGAAAGATGGAAAGGAGCTACTAGAAACTAACAGTGCTGGTGACGTCCTGATGCTCAAGGGTGTGGTGTGTTCATAGCTCTTCACAATCTACTGTTCAATGTATTTGCTTCTGTGCTTTAAGTGTTCTGTAATGAGTTTTAAAACTGCTGTAGAAATTGAAAGTATTATTATTAAATGTTTTTCATTTACAGCATACAGAAAGATGGAGACATTCATTGAATTTATGAGCCTATGTCACTAACTCTTACAAAATCAAGGTGTAGTTTTTTTATATTTGGCATAGAAAATTATTAGCTTTTAATAAGTGTACTTATAATTGCTAAAAAGAAACTGGATAATAGCTTCACACTATTAACTTTTACTTTAAAAAATTAGAATTCTTTAAAATATGGCATTTCCAAAAGAAGAAGCTTAATAATATACCATTATGAAATATTTTTTTTCTGAGATTAAGTGATGTACAGATACAACGTAACAGTACTTTCATTTCTTCCTAAATAGCCAACTAGAAAATATGTTTATGATTGGATGATGTAAAAAATAAAATAAGACCCCAAGTAAAATTTATTGCAAAGTACAAACTGAATTCTCTAGCACTCTGGAAAATAAACATCTTAACTTCCATTACTAAAGATAAATACTGTTTTTTACAGAAATTTGAATCAGTTACTGATAGTGCATGTTTTAAAAATGACAAAAACCCATACACACAATATAATGTATTCTAAAAAATTAACAAAGGAGAATCAATAGCACTGTTTCTCTCCCATTAATGCGATTACATTTTTTTTTTCAATAAAGTAAGTCTATCGACAATTTTCTCTTCTTTTGAGAATTCATTCCTTATGACTCACCTGTAGTATAGCCAAAGGCTACAAAAAATAAATTAAGTACGTTTTGTTAACAAATATTATTTTACTATTTGGGATTTTAAACTATATATCTATCCAGCCAGCAAGCTAATTAAATTGTGATTTATCTCACAAATCAAGGGTATCATACAAAAAGAGCCTCTCATTTGACATAGGAGAAAAAAAATTCTCCTTTTTTTTTTTTTGGCACTGGGAATGGAACGCAAGAACTAAATGCTTTACTGAGCCACATCCCCCCAGCTCTTTTTGGGGCATGCATGTGTGCGTACACACACACATACACACACACACTCACAATTTTTTTTTTTTTTTGAACTATCTTCTTGTCTCAGCCTCAGAAGCAGCTGGGATTACAGGCAAGCACCACCATGCCTATTCCTTACTCCCCACCCCACCCCCTTCTTTTTTAAGGTATTATCAGTTTAGGAAAGTAGTTCTCCAAATATAATCCTAGAATTAATAGTCAACCTCCTCTGGGAACTTGTTAGAAACATAAATTCTTTAGTCCCATCTCAGTCCTTCCGAAGGGAAAAACACGTGAAGTTGCGGCCCTAGGAGTAATTCCGACCGGCACAAGCCAGTTTGAGATCCACTGACCTGTGCAATTAAGAATGGATCTAACTCCTACTTTGGAAGTTAGAATTTTCAAATTCATCCCCACTCCAAAGCTAATATGCAGCATTCATACTTGCAGAGGGCTCCCCCCACCCCCTGGGCCATTTTCCTGAGGCAGCTCCCAGCCAGACTCAGTGGAACACAAACCTCGGTGGCGGTGGTTTCTCCATCCGCGGCGGTGTCCGTTCGCTCACTGTCAGTCTATTGAGCGCAGAGGTGATCAGGTTCCAGGAAGGAGGCAGGGATAGAAAACAAACCCATCTGGTCAAGCGGGGTTACCTATAAGTTGAACCGCTCATTTCCTTTCTCTCGGATCTGTGGCATACTACCTTCCCACAAGAATGCAGCTTCAAGCCAAAGCAAAAGAAGAGCCAGAGCTAGGGGTTGTCAACAGAGCCCCCTTCGAGGAAGACCCGAGGCACGCACAGCCCGCAGGAACTGCAGGGACTGCGTGGGCCACACTGACCTGTCTGGTGCTACATGTCACGAAAACCAATTTGTCACTTTCCTCCCACCCTTTCCACTAACATCCCGAAAAAGCCCTCCTAAAAATGCTTAATGCAAATAAAAGAGGTTTATGTATTTTCTATTTATTTATTTATTCATTCATTCTAGCAATATCACATTTGAAAGGTAAGTGAAAGTACAAATTTACATAAAAAGCTACTGTTAACAGTCACTGGACTTTCAGCCCCTCATTTATACGGTTTGGATAATTTATGCCCATTTACGAACATCAGGCTGTCTGCATTACTTATGAATTATAAAAAGCACATGCCAGTGACTCACAGGCATATGTTTTATAGATGAAAAATGTAACTCAATTTTCAAGTAGCATTGTTAATAGGTACTTTTTAAGACTACATGTTGTTTATTTTATCCCACCCTCTAATATAGAGGTATATCAAAATATGTATTTAAATATCTCATTGCAAAAAATACCATTCAAATGATGCAAATAATAGTAAAAATCATTTAAAAATAAGGAAAGAGAGAGAGAGAGACATCTACTTGGAAACAAATAAAACAAAGCACAGCATTTGACAGAGCCTAGGATTTTAGGGGAGAATTAAAATAATAATTTCAGGACAGGTTTTCAATGTATTTCATAGGGGGTTATGACTTAAAACAGTATTTTCTCTGGGGTAAAGTAGAGCAATGAGCTTTGAAATGAAGACATAATCTAAACACCCTATTAATGGACTTACCCTCTTCAAATGTCAACTAATTATTCATAACATTCCCTTGATCAAATTTTTGGACTGGTATTTTGAAAATAAAAATTGGAACTGGGGGCTCTATAGTTTTGAATCTCTCTTAAAATATCCCTTCCTTTGAAAAACAAAAAAATGTCAGGAAGTGATAACTGGGACATTGTTCTCTCTATGGACTTATGGCCAATCTGATTTTTTGGCACTGTCCCTAAACTTTCGTTTTTGTGAATTTCTAAAGAGAAGGAGTCAGATTGCAATGTTGGCGTATGGACCTGAGGCTGTCATCTGACTAAACCCAAGTAGAAAATAATTTTCAGTAGATTTCTTTCAGAGAAGAAAGCTTGGCTGATATATTTTCATGATCTGACCACCGTGGTTAACAACTGGGGCAGAGGGGCTGTGAATTTTTTTATAGGGTGATTGTTATGGTATTACCATGGCTTTACAAACTGACAGCCCAAGGAAAGATCAATTTGAATGAAAAAGACAGGCTACTGTTGAAACGTACAGAATAACTCAAAGATCTTAAGCTTTCATGAAATAATTATGCTTAATGTCCTAATTAGTTGTGTCAAACACTTCTCAAGTTCTTTGAGATATTTGTATTCCTGCATAGATCATTTCCCATGTGGTTTTAAAATTTAATTCAGTAACTTTCCAACATCTTGGCACTAGAGTTCAGTTGCAGATTCAAGTGAGGGGTAAGATGTCAGAACAATTTCCTCAAATCCTTGCTGTTCAAACTAGTGACACACTGGGTGTATTTCATATTTTATATACACTGGGTGTATTTCATATTTTATCCCAGTTTCCTTCTTGGAAAACAGGGGAAATAACATGACAAATTATATTGGATAGTGGATACTAAGTGCTTTATAAGATGCCTAACATGGATAGAGCTAAAAATTGCCTATAATGATATATGGATATTAACCTATTATATAATTATTAAGTTTCCTTGGCAAACATAATCAAATATCTTTAGCCATATCTAAACTGCCTTAAAAGGGGTGTAGTGGCACCTGCCTATAATCCCAGATACTTGGAAAGAACTGAGGCAGGTAGGATCACAAGTTTGGGCAGCATAGCAAGACCCCCATCTCAAACAAAATAAAACAAAACAAAATCCCAAAGCTATAAACTCCCTCAAATTCCTACTTAGTAAACTAACATAGTACCTGATCAACAGTCAATGAAGTAAGAAAAACTGAATATAGCAGTTTTTTAAGCAACTGCTGTTCATATAATATATTATGACTACACAAAACTAGAAAAGGTGCGCATACCATCAGTTACCATACAGTAATACTATTTCCCACAAACTAGAATGCATAAATGAGGGGATCAATCTTTTTCTCCAAATTTGAACCTCTTTGTTTTGTATTATCAAAAAAATTACTCAGAAATTCACAATTACATGTTATGATGAGCTAAATTTATCTTATGATTCTTGACAGATGATTTGATATTCTGTCCATCTTATTTGATCATTCTGAAAGTATAGAAGAAAAGAAATGATTGGCCAACCACTTTTTTTGTTTGAAATGATTTAATCCTTTCTATACTGGGGTTCACTTTTGAGAAAGGCTGGCACTATGATTTAGCCACTGTAACATATGAGAGATGTAAAAAGAACTACTGTCATTAGTGATTTTGTAAAAGGAACGTGACAGATGAATTATATGGGAAGTCACCCAGTTTAAGCTGCCAAAGAGCTTGAGGCCCAGGGAATAAAATGGGCCATGTAAGCAAACTGCAATTTTTTTTTAAAACCGAATGACCTAAATATGACTTCTTTTGCTCAAGTGGAACTAGTATGCACAGCTCTTTGCACCTGGGGTTAAGAGTCGACACTGAACAGATGGTGAAATACTAAGTCTGGTGGCAGAAGAGCTGTAGTAGGCTAAGTCTGGGGAAGGGGGTGGCAAGGACTGCAGTGGTCAGCGCTATTTTACGGTTTCAGAGGTTTGCAATAACAAGGACAGCCAGGCCTGGGAAGCTCCCATCCTGTGTTCACTGACTTGCAACAATGAACTGCTGTGATTTGTTTTGCTGATGTAATGCAGACATGCCCAAGTTTACATTAACTCTCATGCACCGATTACAACAAGATGTATACCCTGGATTAGGCACAAGCTCTGTGTGGCTGGCTATGGAAATGTTCAGTTCTTTAGAATTTAGAAAAGCATAAAATAGAAATCTTTTCTTTCTTTCTTCTTTTTTTTGGGGGGGGGGCTTTATTTTAGACTCAGGACTAACTCACTGCTAAAGGAAAAACATCTGTAGGTTGGAAATATGCTAATATTATACACAAACTTTATAGATAATATTGTCTTCTTAATTGTAAAGTGTTCTATGCTATTTGATAATATTGCTACTGTGAGAAATAGTAAAAATAAAGCCTTGGACTTAAAACAGTTCTATTTTTCAAGTACAAAAAGATACATATGTGTATGTGTGTGTGCATGTATGTGTGTGAAAGAGAGGGTGAAAGGGGTAGGGGAGAGACAGCTGGAGCTAATAGTCTCATAGCCCAAGAATTTTGAAAAAGACTCTCATGCAATATCAAATTAAAAAAAAAAAAAAACTAGACTTCCATTTACAGCACCTGTGAGATCATTCATATTTTTTTCTCCATTTGCTGTACAGAAATGGCTATAATATCACTAAATACAGGTACTCACACCCTTTCACAATACTAAATACTCACAGGTGCACCTCAAATTATGACTTTCTAGCTGAGCATGAATCTGAATAGTCTCTTTTTTGTGTGTGTGTTGCCTTGACTTTGTGATGTATATTTTTTAAATGCTAGGAGCACATGTGTCTCCTGTCTCAGAAGCCCTTGTTTTGTGGAAACAGGAGAACTGGAGGCAGCCTGGGAGAGGCTCAGGCGGGAGAGGATGTGACAGCCAGTTCCTCTGGCGGCTGCTTCTATTCTTTTCCCTACGCTCTGTTTGAAGTGTGGAGAAAGGGAAGCTGCTGTGCTGTTCACAGGGTTGTGGAGAAGTGGGAAACAGGAACAATTAGGAGCAAAAGCTGCTGAGGGCTGTACCCTCAACTCGCCCAGTTGCTGAGATGAGGAAGGGAGACCCACATGCTGACAGATTCTTTCCTCCACTATGCAATACCTGGTTTAGGGCCAGAGACACCTCACCAGCTTTCTTGATTTGACCCTCTTGTCAACTTATGGGGAGATTTTTGTCTCATGTGGAATTGGAAGAATCACTGCTATCTGATTTATGCACCGGCATTGCTAACACAGACAAAATTTCAGCCTGGTTTTATAATGTAAAGAAAACTTAAATAAATCCTTCCCTGACTGTATTTGGACACTGCTGTACTGCATGCAGGTCTTCTTGGTCCTGTTTCTTGTCCTATCAATGACGAATGACAGGTGGCTGTTTCAAACTGTTGTTGACATCCTTTCTGACCCAATGCATGAGGGAACCTGATCTACTCAAGTAATAAAGATAACTGTAATCAAGGAGAGTAGTGGGGGGGCATTTCAGAATCTCCAGGAGACTAGTTTGCATATTTGGAAAGCTACCCAGGAGATTGTGACATGGACCCTCTGGCAATGCTCTCTCCATCTCTCCTTGAATCTCATTTTAAGCAGGAAGCTACTTATCTGTCTTATATGTGATTTGTTTTGTAAGATGATAACTGATCAGAAACTTTAACTTAGCCCTGATCTTTTACATAGCTAATAGGCTATTTGAAATTGACTTCTGGCTGAGTCCTTTACCCTACCTAGGACTCAGTGGGTAGCAGAGAATTCAGGATTGCACTCAGACTGCTGCATCCACATGGTGTTGTGCCTAACCCTGGGGCCTGGGTCGGACTCCCCAACACACAAAACCTCAACATAATTGGCACAGACAATAAATGAGGCTCTGAAAGTAGGACCACTATCGCAGCAGCCGGCTAACACTTGTTTCGGACCGAAGCACGGAACACGCAGGGGAAGTGTGTTCTATGCCGAGGTACACACCTCTTCCTCTGAACTGTCACTCGGGTCATTGTCTAGGGAGGCGCTCAAGGAGGCCGCCTTGGGCTCCAGGTAGCAGAGGCACAGAGCCAGAGGGAAAGAGAGAGTGAGGGCATATGGCACTGAGAAGGAGGCGGAGAGCAGAAAGAAAAAGATGAAGAGGAAACAGGGCACGAGGGAGGGTGAGCGGATCGGGAGATAATGCTGCAGGCTCTGGGGCAGGAAGTTGGTTTCAGACAGGTTGGGGAAAGAGAGGTACCCATCATCATCTAGGAGGGAGGGGAAGGACTCAGGGAGCTGTAAGGAGAAGGAAAACAAAGTGGCTCCTTTGCTAGTTTGCTGTCTGTAGCTAAATGCCACGTCCTGATCCCCTACGTAAGCTTTCCCTTGGCTGTCAGAGTCCAGGGCCAGCTCTCCCTGCAAATGCTCGGCTCTGGGCGGGGAGGAACCCGGAGCTCTGCATTCATTCTCCTTACACCTCCTACGGAGCTCAGTGGGGGATGTGGGGTCAGAATGGGCTGATGGAGGTGACAAGGGACATGAGTCAGTGCCAAGCTCAGGTGACTGATGTGAAAGAGACAGAGAGAGACAGGAAGCAGCAAACAGAGGTGCAAAAGGACAAAAAGAAAACTGCAATTAGTTAATTTTCTTATGGGTATCAATATAAAATCGTAAAACAAGAATTTTAGCAGTAGGGTTGCTTGGGAATTTTTAAGTCGTTAAGCTGCATGCCAACATTGCTGCAGACGGCTACAGTTCTCCCATCAGACCATCATATAACAGGGTGGAATCCCAATGTCTACAGGTTTCCCACGATCAAAAAATTTCATAGTACACTGACAACTCTAGGAAGGTTGAGGGTTCTGAGAGCAAATATAACTCTCCAATAAATCAAAATCAAGACTTTCAATAACCTTCTCCTGATCTCCAGGTAATAGATTTGTTACAATGGTTTAGCTGGATTAGAAAATGAAAACAAAATTCAATTCCAATTGCAATTATTTAAAAAAAATTTCTTCTAGCATTATTCCTTTCCTTGGTTAGTCAACTATATCCCAAATAGGTGGGTTTGCAAATCTAGAAGTTTCTGGCCCCACTCCTATCTGATAATGGGGGGAGGATTCAACAACTAGCATTTCAGAAACTCTGACTCCCCAACAAAGGACTGAGGTTGCTCTGAAAAGTCTTCTATTTTGGCTCCTTTATGCAGGGTGTAAGTGGAACTCACACTCAAAGTCATTTCAATAAGCTAACCAGCTAAAATAATGTGTTTCCTTGTAATACAGTTTCTATGTGTTAGTTTCTATTATTTGTGGGCCATAAATAATAGACAGATACAATTTCCCAGCCTCCTGATTTCTTTTAGTAGATAAAGGGCATGTTTATACCTTTGGTTTGAGTCCTTAACACAATGCTAAGGCAGGCATCTGCACAAAAGTGGCCCCCTGATGAGCTCTGGCTTTCATGGGACAAGTGAACCTAGTTCCATTCTCTGGGGCCCTGGCGGTTTCAATGCCCAAAGCTGGTTTCTTATGCAGGTGGTGGAGGGGCTGCTGGGCAAGAAAGGGAAGACAGGAAGCAAGCAGAGACTCTGAGCAGAGCATAGGAGCTGCTATAGCCTGGTAAGTTCAAGGCCAGGGCACATGGAGCCTGAAGATAATTAGACTTCTGTTGGTGTGTGTGTGTGTGTGTGTGTGTGTGTGTGTGTATTATGCCTAGTGACCTGAGAGCATGGAAATTACCCAGCCTTGACTGCCTGGTGATGGTTATCCAATCCTTATTTACAGAGAAGTGGTAAACACAGCAACAGAGGGAAAGAAAATGTACAAGTAAAATTACATCTGAGACATGAGGGAAAGAAAATGCACAAAGAAAAAAAAAGTGTCTCTTGAATATATCTGCAGAAGGAGTGTCTCGTTGGACCATGACAGGAGTGTGTCTTCCCACACACTCCCATTTGACATTAAAGACTGCATTTTAAACAGGAACCTGTGAAAATCTCTAAGACTAATGTAGATGTTACAAAGTCACCTTGAAGACAACTGTCCTCTGGTGGTGAAACTGGCCCTCTGACCTGTGGAAGGAAAAAGCCAGGGAAACCAGTTTCCTTCCCAGGCCAATTCTGGGGGACCGGTCTTTTAAGAATTATTTGCAATAATATGTTTTCATTTTGGTTTAAAAAAGAAGTACCTCTATGTTACTGTTTGGAGGTAGAAAATAATAAAATTAAGGGTTAATCTTCCATTCTGCTTATGAATGTGGTTTTTTCAAAGACAACTTTGTCTTTTTAAAGATTTGGGGGAATTAAAGACAGCTGGCAACTATGCAGCCTCCTGAAGGCGCCCTGCTCAAAGCACTGGCTCTGCTGAGATCAGACAATGAGGGGAGTCATTTTCTTTCTTTTTATTTTCCCATGGCATAAATGGCACAAGGTGAAGATAGCTCAGTGCTACATGTTACATAAATGAATTGGTAGTCTTTTAAAATTGAATAAAGTGAGACTGACTGCACCTATTTGGGGAGTAAACTAAAAATAATTTACCTCTGTGTGCCACTTAATTCCACTTACACATCCATGGGGATCATTTGTTGGCATGGACAATCTTGAGAAATTCTGTAATAACCAAGGGTAAGAAGGACACCTTCGCCTTTCAGGTATATTATCTTCATTTCATGTCCCAGTTAAAACCAGCCCTTGACTCAACTGACAGAGTGTGAAAATGAAATTTAGAACAAAGCAACAAAAGTGATCCAAATATCCCTGCACTTTTTTTTTTTTTTTTTGGTTTGGCAAATTAGGGAAACTTATCCTAAAAGAGCAAAATTTAAAAATGATGGACTGGGTCACTTGGAATATTCTGACTACAAAAATTATTTGTTGACCTACCCCCTCCCTTAAGATGCTGTTGTTAAAATCATTATGGAAAAAAAATATTTTTCCAAGGAGTCGAAATTGGTGATTTTCTATCACATCCATCTGTATTTGAAAAGCCCACTTAAGGGAGCACTTGTAAGTGGAGCAAACTCATATTTCAGGATAACCCATAGATGACATGAGCATTTTTCTTCCCCTATTTCCTCTATTTACCTTATATGTTCCAATAGCTGCTCTGCTTTTCCATGATTATCATGCATAAACTTTCCCATGTGTTGACGGTCAAAACTGTTTTCCTAAGAAGTTGCTTTATACTGCTGGGTCACCAGAAATAAGTCTGATATTTAAAAACCATGTTTAAGAAGAAATTTAATTTGGTGGAGGGGGGTGGGGGCATGATTTCATGAAATCACCTGGAGAAAACACCAATAAGTCCACTTCTCAACTTCCTGTGCACACTTGTACCTCCACATCCCATTTTAAAATATGGCCACTAACTCCTTCCTTTCCTGATGAGATCACAATTATAAGACTAAGGAAGATGAATCATAAACACACAGGCCTGTGATACTTGTGGTTAGAAGAATGGCGATGTGATTATCGTATATCTAGAAAAATATATCAAGCTTGGGTAGGAGAATGGGGCCAGAAACAAAGAAAATAGCTTTAGTGACAGTTCTGAAATGAGAGCCAGAACAGAAAGGCATCTTCCACCACCCAAAGAATTTTTAAGAGAGACAGACACAGGACAGCTGTTGAAAGTCTTATGTAGCACATTCCTCATTAAAGTAAAAAATCTCAAAAAATTAAGGAAGCAACTTTCAGAGTAAAAAAAAATGTCAAAATAGGAATAGTAATTTTAAAACTGACATATGACTGTAACTAGCGCTGAGTTATGAACGACCCTATGCTCAACACATTTCTGGTTCCATCCTCAGCATTACTGAGCCTTTGTTAAGCTGGAGCAAGCTCTATGAGGCAGCCTGGGAGCTGTACCTTTCCCTCGTGCCGGATGGCTGAGACCGGCGTGGCTTCCTCAGCCTTTTTCCGTCTCTCGTCTTCCTCGTCGCGCTCCTCCTCGGCCTTTTTCTCCGGAGTCACAGTGGTGATCAAGTTGGTCTGAGAGATGCCCTTTGTTGTGGCGTACTGGCCAGTACCAACCTCTGCAGCAGACATAGAATCCTTCATGTATATTTCATGGTTTTCATTCACTGACGCTAAAAGCAAATACAATTGGAGAAATAAGATCTGAAATTGTTAAGTAGAAGAGAGATCAACAACACCACTGTCCCATTACTGGGAAAGAAAATACCACTACAAAATACCAGCTTTGACATGAAAAGAATCTAAGATATCATAGACTTTCTGTTCCACCTAGACCGTGTAGTTTAAAATTACTTAAATGCTCACGTCTTGAAGTCCAGAATAATGCCCACCCATTCTCATGCTCTCTGGTGAGGGTGTGTGTGTGAGGGTGGAGGAGAATGGAAGGAGGTGAAACTGGGCTTCCCCTGAACCCCCTGCTGCCTGAGAGCCCTGGCTGGGCACCAGCACCAGGCACTGAGTGGCAAGTTCAGGAACTCAAAGCAGTGGATAATACTCTAATACACTTGACTTTGAACACATTTTTGGAAGTAACATTTACCAAAGAGCACTGAATTGGTTTTATTATTATTATGGGATGCTAAAAAAAAATAAACGAACACTCCTACAATATTAAAGCCCCAAGGGTAATAATGAAAATTAACCATGTTGTGGCACAGATTATAAAATTCTGATGGTAATTCCATTCAAGTGAAATAGAGAAATGCTTTAATATCCACTGCATTTTAAACAGTCTGCCATGATGAGATGCATATATACTCATTCCCATCTCTAATATTTTGAGAAAACAAGACAAATGCTGCTAAATGAAATTCATGCAAATGCAAAGCGTGCAAACATAAGAGATATAAGACACAGCCCTTCATACCAGCTAAAATGTCTCAGTGAAAAAGATGCTAAAATTCAGTTCGATGTCCAAATTATTTGGTATTCATTATTTTAGATTATAAAAATTTGATATCATGAAAAATAAACACTGCTTTTCAAATACACAGCAGTTGATCACAGACAAAATATAATCTGCCTTCGTCTTTTAGGAGCTTTAAAACAGAGAAAGGATTATGAAACGAAATCCTTTCTGAGATCCTTTTGATAGCTAAACTACTAAAATATCTTCACCAAGACATTTTATCTGTCTTTCTATCGATGAGAAAGCTTGTATGGTTTCTTAATAGACCAGTTAGGCTGTTTTCTACAAGATGCTGGCACCTTGCAAAAAAGCAATTTATGTTCCAACGTGCAGCCACGGCCCCCAGCTCAGCAGCGTAGAAAACATACTGGCAGGACCACCAAGAGGGAGACAACACATACTAACATCACTTTTGGGCAGGGAGGAAGAGACACCATGATATTAGTACATTGACTTTGCAATTGTCTTCCGTCTTCTCCGAAGTCATTAGCACACAAAAGGTCAAGAGGAAAACAACATTCACGAGAAATGTGCTCCCTTGGGCACACATCACTGAACAAAGTAGATGGTGGGGAAAAAAAGGTGCGATTCTACAAAAGTTCCTCAGTACTGACACAGAGAATGTACAAACAGTGAACAGAGATTCTATAAAGAGGAGTAAATGGGACAAAGTGAAAAAAGAAAAACTTCAGTGTTACATCACAGATATTCAATATCTTAAAACAGTTCTGGTACATGTTTTATTCTAAAGGGTTGGCTCTAGGTTTGGTATTCTGCAAATCTTAGAAGATACAGAATGGTGCAGTTGTCCCTTGGTATCCCTGGGGGATTGCTTCCAGGAGCCCCATGGATATCAAATCCAAAGATGTTCAAGTCTCTTATATAAAGCAGTGCTGTATCTGCATATAATTGCACATTCTCCTTTACATCATTAGATAATAAAGTAACACACTGTAAATGCTATGGAAATTGTTGTCACATTGTATTATCCAAGGAATTATGACAAAAACCAAGTCGGTACATATTTAGTGTAGCTGTGATTTTTCTAAAAAGAAATTTGCAGAATTTGGAACCCACAAATACAAAGAGACAATTGGAATTAACTTTTTGGGCCAGCTCACAAATGTAAGAATCGTCATCAATATAATTATTGAAATAATTTATATCTTATACAATGACTGTTTTCTCCATGTATCTTCACAACAACCCTGTGAAGATGGCCTAATTCCCATTTTCTGGGAAACTACTTCAGACCTGGAGAGCTAAAATCATTTGCCAACCATTACCCAGAGGACAGCGGAGTCTGGATTCACTCTTGAGTTTTTCTTGCCAGATGAGTGCTGTTCTCATTTTAGCAGTAACATACAAAATATAGCACTAACAATACAAGTGTGATTTCTTCTACAAACAGTTTTCTAAATTATGCAATCAGGAAAACACCGTCTTTTTAATCAGGGGATTCAGGAAATAATATGTCGCCCCCATCAACTACACTAGGGATGGCAGGGGCTGGGGAAATGAGATTCCTTGGGAAGCAGATGCAAAAGAACAGAGGGACAGAGATGATTCTAGGTTCCTGTAACTTTTATTTATGTTTTTGTTACTTACTAAAGTCATACATGCATGCCAGAAATCTAAAGCTTTTCATTTGCATAAGATGGGTCTTCAACAGAACAACTAATCTCCAAGTTCTCTGAACTACAAGTTGGAAGCTTGGGCATGACTTAGGTCCTAAAGTGTCACTGTAGCTGGCATGCCTTTTGGCAGAAGCCGCCCTCCATCTTACACAGAAGCAATACACAACTGATAGACAAGACAAAAACAGACTAATAATTCCTGTTTGTTATTCCTTAGGAAGGTCATCTAAGTGACGCTGTCCCTGATTTTCTTTTAGGTGGGGTGGCATGCTGGGGATTGAACCCAGGGGTGTTTAACCTATGAGCCACTTCCCCAGCCCTTTCTTAGTTTTTCTTTTGCTCAGGGTATTGCTAAGTTTCTGAGGCTGCCTTCAAACCTGAAATTCTCCTGCCTCAGCCTCCTGAGTTGCTGGGATTATAGGCATGTGCCATGGAACCGGGCTCTGCCCCTGTCTTAGTCATCTGACTCACTTATCTGACTTAATAGCAGAGAGCACCTACATAGCATCCTTTCTGCTAGCTATCATAAACAAAGGCCACATTTTTCCTAAAAAAATTAAATAAATAAATAAACCCTTTTAAGTAAGAGAGATAAATTAAGCCTACAGTTTTATTTCTGAAACAAATATTCTTGAGACAAAATTGCTAATCATTTCAGGTCAGCTGGCAAGAGAACAGAATTACTTGGAGTCCCTGACTCCTATATTTAGAATGTAACCATCTTTCTCCAAATTTGGGGTACTGGCTTATGAAAGCTATGCTCCTCATTCTCAAAGTGCCTAATTTATCTCAGTTTATACACATCTACAGATAGACTGACAAAGGCATTACTTTTGGAGGTGGGGATGTTCAAAATCTCCCACTTAGTTCAGATCCACCGCTGCTTTCCCTTTCATAATATCCAAGAAGATCTACATTTACACATGTTCATGACACTCCTTCCTGGTGAGTTACTAGAAATTATTAAGAGCCAGTGAGCAATGCCTACCTCCATCCAAGCTGCGAGACATGGTGTAACGTTTGCTGGATGAACGTTCAAAGTAAGGCGCGGGGCGATCTATCAATGCACTGGCTCTTCTTGTCTGGGCTTGCGTCCTGCCACTGTACCGGAACTTGGAACCCAAGGTTAGGAATTTCTTTGGAGGTGCTTCTGGTAACAACAGTCTAAAGATATTAAAGAAAACCACCAGAAAAGACCTTTAAGTCAAATATTCAGAATGCTATTTTTTTTTAACTTTTCACAGTGTATTAAAGGTTTACCACGAAGCTTGTAGGTAATGAATCTGATTTTTATTAGAAAAGCTAACAAGTCATACAGTATATATTAATGAGGGATGCAGGAGAAAAGACATAAGTAAAACCGGGGCTGGGCTGGACTATAGGAACATTAACCTTTATCTCATAAACTAGAGAGTCTAGAATATCTAGAGAAGCCATGGCTCCATAAACCCAAGGAACAATTAAATAGATGATTTAGTGAAGAAGAATGATAATTTGTTATTTTATAGGCACGAATCTGATGGGCTGAGTATATATGTTTGCATAAAGGAGTCCAGGGGGGTATCAAGAAATTTTTGAAATAGGAATGAACTGGATACTTGAAGAGGACACTCTTTTATAAAAATAATGAAAAGACCAAAAAAAAAAAAAAAAGTAACACAGATAAGTACAAGACAAATTGAAGTACATCCTTTAAATTTATTCAGAAGTGTTTTTAGGATTTCTTATCAAGATATCTGGTGAAAATGAACTTGAAGGAATAGAAAGGATGTTTCTAGATTGTCCTTCTTGCCCCAAACCTTTTCAATATAAGCAATCGAGTCATTTCAATTCTTCCTTAGGGAAAAAACAAAAACCAACTCCCAAATGATCTCTACCTACCTGAAAAATGTATGGTGTTCAACACATACTTTCCACAAACGCTTGGCAGCCCGATGGTTTGGCAGCTTAAACCCAATGGTGCTTTCAAATTGTTCAAACTAAATTTAAAAAAGCATATATGTATGGACAGAGTCAAGTTTGGAATTATGAATAATAGATGCTTTGCAAATAATTTACAAAATCATACTCCCATAAGTTTTTTCTTTGCTCATTAAAGCAATTGCTATATGCAGAATTCATGTAATACACATTCATGTAAAAAATCACCACATCTACCTCTTTAAAATGTGGCAAAGGTAGATAATCGTGTCATGCATGCAATAAATGCCTTCTGCATCAGTGTGGATCTTATAAAAACTAAATACAAAAAAAATCAAGATAACTGGATTCCTCCTAAAGATCAAATTTTTTCCTGATCCCATTTTTCTTATTTTCATGGTTTCTTAATGACACGACTTGAACTGGAATGCACAGAAATGAACAAAATATAGGTACAGATATAGTCTACAGCATGCTTAGAAATGACATTTCCTCCTAGGATCTTGCCAGGAAATATGCATATTTCTTAAATACTCAATGACTTGGTGTCAGATATTTCTGATTTCATCTGTGTGCTCCACTATAGATTATAATGTTTAATGTCAACATCTGTCTATATGATCCATAAGCAGAGATTGTGAAAACACATTTTCATACTTTCCAGCATGTATATTTTCATATGATATTCTATCAGCCATTTGGTTTTTCAAGATGGATTATCTGATTAGATTTTCTGCACAATATATTTTAATACGATTATTGCAGATGCACAATAATTTTCAGTTTCTGAAGACAGTATACATCAGGCCACCAGAGGGCAATCATCTTAAACAGTAAAGGTTTATATTAAGGATGACAAAACAACTGGACTACTGATACAATCATTAGCAAAAGTAATCTCTGGGGCAAGAAACCACAGGCCAGGGGTCATGTGCATGGCATGTGAGACATGATCATCCTTGACCTTTATTTCTTGCTTGCTGAAGATGACTGGGGAAATTGGGAAATATATCACAAGTTGCTCCAACACAAGTGCCCTTCCCAATTTCTTATTCATTCTGTATGTTCATGGGCAGGGGTGGTTGTAAAAATTGCTGCTGTCCTAGGGACCTGGCCAAGGCAAAAGTACCCTGGCTCTTAACTAAAGCACTATGCATTTACCCGTCCAGCATCTAATATGCCCCTGCACTATGCTAAAGCCAAGACTTACAAAAGAGAGTCACCTTGCTCTCTGGGGCAAGTTGCCTAGAAGTATGTTGCTCTTCAAAAATTCTCAAAAATTTTTACTGACATACAATAATTGTACATATTCCTAGAGTACCATGTGCTATTTCAACACATATAGGCAATGTGTACTGATCAGATCAGGGTAACTGGTTTATCTACCACCTCAATCATATATCATTTCTTTGTGCTGGACATATTCCACATGTTCTATACTGGGTATTCTGAAATACATGTTTAATTGTTGTCGACCATGTAGTTACACTATTGAGCTAAAGAACATTCTTCTATCCAACTGCACCCCTAGGTTGATCATTTTCTCACCATTTCCACCACCCGCTCTGCAGCCCCTGGTAACTACTTAGAGTACTACTCTCTACTCATGTGAGATCAACATTTTTAATGGGGCAGAGTGTCTTACTGTCATCCTCCTTTACACAAGGATGAGTTGGGCCCCTAGGCTTTCTGAATGCTTACTTCTCTGTGCTTTGTGTCTGCTTTCTTCAACCTCTTTGCAGACTATATGCTATCAATAATTTCTTCTCATTCTTCCCTGCCTATAAATATGACTGTAAAACAGGATGGGGTGGGAAGCCAATTTGGGGCCTGCTTCAGCCAAACCCTGCCTCACTCCTTACTGCTAAGCCACCTCTGTTATTTCACTCCTCGCCTCAATGCACTCTTGGCAGGTGGCTCCTCACACGTTCCCGAACTCTTCCATGCCATAATGGGACCTGACTATCAAGTTCAACACGCTTTACTTAGTCTGCACCCTGTGTGCCCTCTCTGTAACATATGGCACTGCTGGTGAGCCACTAGGCCCTGAAACTCACCTGTCATCTCACAGCCTCTGTCCTTTCTTTTATTTCTGGCTGTCTTCCTGTTTTTCTTCTACTGGCCCCTCAATCAAATGGTGGTGTCACCCAGAGTGTTTATTTTAGGGCCTCTTCTCTAACTTCCCTTGCTCTTTGGGCAATTTATCCCATATATCCAAGACTTGGGTAAAATATATCCAGTTGGTGATGACTCCATTCAATTTCTTACAAGGCAAGAATTGCCTCTTGAAAATTAGTCCTGAAGGAATTTTAATCTCTTTTTTTTCCCCCTTCAAATTCTGACCCTTTCTCTTTCTTGTTGGACATCATCTCCATCAACTTTAGTCATGCAAATGGAACCCCTCTGGTTATGTGGATTCTTCCCTTTTTGAATCCCTTCCTTCATCTTGTCTCAGAGACCTACTACTGGTTCTGCTCCTGAAACCCATCTCCAATTGCTCCCTCCATGCCATGATTTGGGTCTTATCACATGATCACTCAGTAGCTGCATTTCATTGAGAAACCCATCATTCCAGAATGTTCATCCAGTGTGTCAACTTAAGGCCTTCCACTGCTCACTACTGTCTACTAGGTCATTTCCCCCTGTGGCCTCACAGCGAACTCACTCCTTTTCTATTGTATTATTTATCTTTATGTGGTGCTGAGGATCAAACCCAGTGCTTCACACATGCTAGGCAAGTGCTCTACCATTGAGCCACAATGCCAGCCCCTCACTCCTTTTCCATAGATCATCTTCTCTCTTGTATCATGGTGTTATTATTCAAGGGTTGAGTCTGTTTCTCTGATAGAAAAATCTTTTAAGAAAAAGAACAAGGTCATATTTCTCTCTATCCAATTCCCACCATGGAGCCTGATAATAAATAGGTGCTCGTTTAATAAATAGTTGTTCAATGAATTAAAACGAACACATATCAGCTATAAGTTTCACAAACAATTTTTGCAAGTATTTTATAAAACACTACAGTTTCAAGTATTTAAATGAAAAGCTTACAGATTATTTCAGTTGTCATATAACAACTGAATATTTAATATAAATATTTAATATATTTATAATGTAAAATATTTAATATAAGTCATATTTATGTTAAATATGATTGCTAGCTTTATCTTCTGATTTTTTATAACTGCATTTTCCACCAAGAAATTCAGGGCAGAGGTATATTTTGAAGGCAGGATAAAACTATATTGAATGAGAAAATATTTAGAGATATATAGGAGTTGGAATCTTTGGGTTTTGTTTCTAGTATATTAAGGCACCAATTAGAAATTGGAGGTATTAATTATCTCATAAACAAATACAAGTAGAATTCAATACTTATTATGTATAAATCACTAAGAATATATAAATATAACTTGATCATGGAGGCTGTTGCCCAAGGAGTAAGAATTAATAATTCTGATTCTTTTATTAGTTTCTCTGATTAAAAAGAAATCAGAAATACCCTGGAAATGCACTAGGCTGTGGAATATTTACATTATTCACCTCCTCATTCTTTGTTCTAAACTTTTCTGTATCTTGAAGCACATCATCTCTAGCTATTTACTTTAAGGTACAGTCAGACTTGCAGAAAAAAATAAAAAGGAAAAGGAGTGATAACAGCAGGACACAAAAGAAGAGATCTATTCATCACGGCTTGAAATATACATGAAATTATTCATGAATCTTGATTTTATACCCAAATACATTTTTAAAAACCCTCTCAATTAGCGTATGCAGCTCAACTAGAACAACATAATAAAGAAGAGAACATTTTATTTATTACTGCTTTGGATAAAACTACAACAAATTCTCTCAGGATTCAGACATGATTCACCATGTTGCATGGTGCTTAGAATCTGTGAGCAAAAAATTTATATTATTGTTTGTTATTATGGATCTTTTTTTCCCAATGCAAATGCAAATGAAGGCATACTTACCTCTCCTGGCCGAATCTTAATGTAAAAGTTGTTTCGTTTATATGAAATTTTTAGAACCTTGGGCCAGGCAAATCTGTTTATTCGCAACCGGTCACGATATATCAACAGACCACTCGCACAAACTCCTAACATAATTTCTACTCCTTCTGAATCCTAGAGAATTACAAAAACAATATATCAGTATCTCTCTTCTTTCTACTTTTCATTGGGTACAACATTTAAGTCATGACAGAATCTACAATTGAAAAATTTAAATATGAAAAATACTGAATAAACATTTTTAAAAACATCCCTTAGGTAAGCTTTGTTTGTTTTGGTACCAGGGATTGAACCCAGGGGCGTTTAGCCACTGAGCCACTTCCTCAACCCTTTTTTATTTATTTATTTATTTATTTATTTATCTTTTTAATTTTGAGATAGGGTATCACTAAGTTGCTTAGGGCCTCTCTAAGTTGCTGAGACTGGCTTTGAACTTGCAATCCTCCTGTCTCCGCCACCCAATGCACTGGGATTACTGGTGTGCACAACCACACCCAGCTAAGTAAGTTTTTTTTTTTTTTTTTTTAATTAGCTACACATGACATTACAATGATCTTGGCAATTCATACATTTGAATCAATTGGGGTATAATTTCTCATTTTTCTGACTGTACAGACTGCAGAATCACATTAGTCATACAGTCACCTATATACATACAGCAATCATAATGTCTATTCTATTCTGCTGCCCTTCCTATCCCCCCTTCCCCTCCCCTCCCCTCCCCTCCCTTCTCTCTATCCAATCTATTAAGTAAGTCTTTAACAATGATATTTTTCACTGTGGACATTTGTTGGAGTAACATTTGTTCACCCAGGTACCTCAGATTTATGGCATAAATGCTGCACAGAGCAAAGGTCAAGCAGGGGCTGTGTATTAATAACCATAACACGTAACTCTTACCTATGGGGTGTCTAGACACTGCTCTATCCTATGTATTTTAACTTTTTCAATCTTCACTATGCTGTGTTGAGATGGTTGCTATTATTATTCCCATTTTACAGATGAAGAAACTGTAAATTGGGACTCAACTGCACACACGCAGTCTGGCAGTGCTTTTAGCTGATTTGGACACTAACAAGAGGGGACCTGTCTTTTCCTTTGAGCATTTTGAGTATTGTTACTTTGAAAAGAGTCTCAACCTTTATTTGCTATTATTGTCAGAGAAAAATTTTTAAAATGAAAATTTAAAAAAAAATACAAACCTACTGCCTCCAATATACCTCCATACATGGAAACACTGCCCAGTGGCAATCACACTAAATAAAATGACACCTATAGATAAATGCACATACGCTTTAAATATGATTACAGGGTTTTTTTAAAAACAAAAATGGGATGCTATTATAATTTCAACTTGCTTTTGTTACTTGGACATTTCATCTTTTACATAATTTCCTAAGAAATGTGTGATGCTTAGAGGTCATTAGCTATTACATTAAGCTTAAGAGGGATATTGTACATATGATGTCCCTGTTAAATATTGGATTCCACTGAAATCGGGGTAAAATGAAAATGCACAAGGCCTTGAATTGGGTGAAAAATACTGAGGCAGGACTGAATGTGAGCTGCAGCATTAATGCCTTGTTACACCTGTTTGTTGGAATCTGGACAGAAAGGGTCACGGGCTGGTCACACCTTATGTTATTGCAGAGAATTACTCTGCAATAACAGCAAAGCAGAGATGGAAAAAAATTAAGAATTCAGAGAGGAGATTTTCACTCATGCTTACAGTGGGAAGATACTTCCTAAATCCTATAGATGCAAGGCATAAGATGAACACTACCAGAATAAAAAATTAATATATTGGTCCATCTCTGGGAAACAGGAAGTTTACTAACAGAATATAATTGGTTTAGAATTAAATATCTTACCTTGGAAACATATTACTCCATTAGATATTGAATTACTCTACAGGAGTGGAACTATTGGATGGCAGGATATTAGAATATAATACAATTAGAGAATCCAAAGATCAGAAACTGCCCACTATTTATCAGAGGCTATAGTGACTATGCAAGTTAAAGAATTATAACCCAATGCTCCCAAGTTATTGGTATTACTGATTCTTGAGAACCAGCCCATCTGCACAACCCCTCAGAGGTGAGCACCTCCTGCCAGGAGGCAGAAAGGCAGGCATGAGGAAGGAACGCTTGAATAACTGTTCTTTGGTTCACTTTCTTTTCAATATAGAATGCAAGTTTAGGAAAGAGCCTTTGGTCCACAGAGGGAAAGGCCATTTAAAACCTTTTTCGGTTTTATCTATTTTTAAATCACCATTAGTGTCCTTGATCACAAGGAAACAATATCCCCTCCTGGGAAAGAGGAGGAAGGAATAAGACCTCTTTTTCTTGGGTCCTCCAACATGCTGCTCTGGTCCCAAATCAGTCTCTTATGACAAGCACAACCTTACTAAATGGTCCTAAAATAAGATTCCCTCCCTGTCTTCCTTCCCTGGAGACTGTATGCTGATTAGGAGCAGCAGTTCTGTTTTCTATTTGTAATCTCATGGCCAGCACAGGCCTGCCCAGCATGTATCAAACTCATGTGTGCCTGCTGAAAGTAAAAATGAATGAGGAATAAAATGCAGGAGAAGTGGGGTTTTACACTGGCTGAAGGGTCTGTTTCTTTAATTGCATAGGGACAAAAAATATGTTCATACCCAATTTTCTGCTATTGACCAGAGTACTTAGTTGGATAAATCTTTGGTATTAAAAGCTCTGCCAGCCTTTCTTGGGGACAGGTCCAATTCACTCTCAACAGACACACTTCTACTCCCATTAACAGGACCCTGAGGTAGACCCGGAAAGTCTCAGTCTGTCACAATGAAAATAGGTGGCCATGACACTCCCTTCGTTTAGAATCATGGCTCACACACTGCTATCCTTCACTATCACTTGGCCCATGGGGTATTTGACAGGGATTTATATCTACGTTTCATATCTTACATGAAATAAGTGACTCTGACAAAGTCTATTAAAACTAACATTAAGTGCTGAGTGCTGTGGCGCACACCTGTAATCCCAGCAGCTCGGGAGGCTGAGAGAAGAGGATCACAAGTTCAAAACCAGCCTCAGCAATGGCAGTGAGGTGCTAAGCAACTCAGTGAGACCCTGTCTCTACATAAAATACAAAAGAGGGCTGGGAATGGGGCTCAGTGGTTGAGTGCCCTAGAGTTCAATCCCTGGTCCTCCTCCCTTCTCCCCCACCCAAACAAACAAACAAACAAACAAAAAACAACTAACATTAAACAACAAACAAGCAGAGATAGACTTCCTAACATTAAAAATAATAAAAAATAAAAAAGATTTTGGGATAGATTATCCAAAACATAGGACCTTCATCTAATATGGGTATTTATTCTTCATATGGAGCTGTGGAGTCCATGATTACAATTCAGAATGCTTAAATGGATCATAAAGCTTTGGGACTTTCATACCATCAATAGAAGGAGAAGCATCTAGCTCATGACCGGAAATTGTCTCTAATTCAATTCAGTAAATTTCCTCCTTGAAATGATGGTGTGTGACTGCATGAGAAAATGGAGTCTATGAATCGTTTATTATACTTAATATTCAGATAAAATCCTATAATGGGCTACATTTGCACTTCCTTAATTCTTTCTTCTTAATTGGCATAATTTAAAATCATATTATTGAATGACAAAGCAGCCATCCATTTTAATTCAGTAGCTATAGCAATGTGAAGTGATTTTATTTTTACCGATGGGAACACTGATACAACCTGAGTTGCACTTCCCTCAATCAGTTCCCTAATCATTTATTTATTTATCTATTTATTTGGGGGAGGGCAGTTAATGCATCAAAGTGCAAGGTATAACTCAAAAATAGCTTTAGGTTCACTCAAATTCTCATGCTACTTTTATTTCCTTTTTGGTTATCTTTTAGCCACCTAGGGAAAAACTCTAAAAGAAATTGAAAAAAAAAAAAAAACAACTTAATTATCTGGTCTTATCTTTATGTTGAAATTCTACTCTACTGATATCTGACATAAGAGAGAAAAACATCTTCATTATCCAAGGGCAAAATACGTGAAAACATGCAATAAAAAATTGGCAAGTAAACAGCTACACCTGCTGTTGTAATGACACATAAATGTCAAAGAGCTTGCTGTTAGTATACCAACACATGTCCCCAGTCAAACCCCAGTGATCTTGCTGGTGTTCAGGCATTGGAAGTCCTCCTCTCTGTGATGTAGGAGTTCACCCATAGACATCACCAATCAAACCCACATTCGTTCAATGGCTACCATCTGTCTGTCCAAAGTCACGGAGGATTGGTTTGCTCCCTAAACATCTACCAAAGAGCAGCAACAAAACTTGCAAATCACATATTTTCTTCTGTTTGGTGATCAAGGTTGTTGAGATGTTTACTTAAACACAGACAGCTGAAATTGCTCTTCATTTCTAGCCTTAAAACTGACTGTGAGAGACACTTGCCTGCCTGGAAGGCTGTAATTGCACATTCTTGTGAGACCCAGACCGTGAAATTGGTGACTGTCTATCAGAGGTCAAGTCCACATCCCTATGCAGGAGCGATATTATCTTGTCAATCCTAAATAACCCTGAACTTTAAATACTGACCTTTTGAACACACCCAAAATATCAGAATCCATCTCTAGAAACCTAGCAAATTGCATATGTTTTGCTGATAAAAGTTCTCATAAAATCTTCCCCATATTTCCATAGTACTTTGTCCATGGCTTTTAAAATATTAGACTTGTAGTCCACATGCTCATTCTCTCGCTTCTGAAAAGCACAGAGATTCTAGAAAAAGCATGACAGGGTCAAAGCTGCTCTGTGTGTCTCAAACACTGAAGCCCTACAGTTTAATTCCAATTTCTTTCTTGCTAAGATACATCTCTAACACTGCACCCATTATCAGTCAACAAAGCAATTCTTAGCCAGGATGACTAGTTTTGGTTGCACTTTAAAAATAATCTTATTTCAAAGTACTGGTTACATGTACGAGTGCTTAAACACAAGAGACAGAATTCTTAAAATATAACATGAATTTACAAAGTACCTGGTGGGGTTCTAGAATGAGGGACATACACAGACCAAGTTGAGACAGACAGACATGAAAGAGCAGAGAAGTCAGATGTCAGATGAACATATTCAGGGAAAAGGCAGAGTCAGGGTGCAGAGGCAGCAAAAGGTGCATGTTGGTGCAGAGTGGGAGAAAACAGAGAAGGCAGCAGGGTCCAAGAGCTTGTTTGGTCAAGATAAGCTTCCAACTGAATCAACAGGCAATCAGAGGGTTTGTCTACTGTGGGCTTTTAGGAGGCTTAGCCCATGGGGAGAGTGAGTCTGAGCCATGAAAAGCAACCCCTCCAGTAAAAAAACAAAGAGCTAAGTTTGTTTTAACATGAAATAGGGCTTGCAAGGCAAACAGAAATTTGCACCCCCAATATTTCCATTACATTCACTAAAATAAGAATTACGGTAACAGAGTTGAATTAAATAAAATAGTGGGGGGTTTAAAAATGCATACCTTGGCATGATGCAAATCTACTCCATACATAGATAGTTTTTTGGCATTTTCCAAGAAATGCATCTCGGCTTCTGCTGGCGTCATTCCTCTGATTAGGGAAAAAAAAAGTGTTATAAGGTTGCCTTTCCCTTTTATTCATTAGAATGAAAAAGCAGTTAGCTGATTTTCCTTCCTTTTTCAGTTAATTGCTTATCCTTTATCTGGCTGGGTTGCAAAATTTCCCACTGAGCTCCCTGTTAATTTATAAGAAAGCATCTATTGAGGCACTGGCAGATACAGGTTGACCATTCCTAATTTAAAAATCTTAAGTCTGAATAGTTTTGAATACCAGCATGATGTCACAAGTAGAAAACTCCACACCTGATCTCATGAGACCAGTTAGTCAACACCCAGGTGTACTATAAATTAACTTCATGTGTAAGATGAATATGAAACATAAAATGAATTTTGTGTTGAAACTAGGGTCTCGTTCCCAACGCATCTCATTATATATATGTAAATATTCCAAAGTCTGAAAAAATATCTGAAATTTGAAACACTTCTGGGCCCAAGCATTTTGGATAAGGGATACTCAGCATCTGAGGAAAGAATAACAAGAAAAATGGCTTTGAAGGACAACATTACAAATAGATGCCTGGCTATTCTGAGGGAAAGCTTACCTACTCCAGAACTTTCCCATGTAAAGACCCACTGTGCTAAAAATCCCATTCTTAATGTACTGAAATCAACACTGGGAAGAGATAGGCTGTAGAACTGATGCTCACCCATAAAGCACAAGTTAAATGTATGCTCCTGTTCACTGACCTGTGGCTCTTGTGCAGCTCGATCACTTTATCTTCAAGTTCTTTAGTGTGGTTTGGTGCAAAGCGGAACTCACTAATGTAATCATTCCCACATTCATCGGGGTCATAGTCTCCAAGTTCTGACTGGACTGTGTAGGAGCCCAGCAGGGCGAGGGTCACAAAGGAGCAGGGCAGCCTTCCTGATACGATGTCATCGCGCAACTGTAGGCAGAGGTAGTACCTTCCAGGAGCCGAAAGGTCAAAATAAAAGGCCAGCATTAGGACACATGAAAAGGAGATCATTCAGTAAAAACTGTAAGTAGACAATTTCTCCCTGTGCAATAACCTGTCCAGGACACATTTCCTACCATTCACAGATGCTGATATTTGTTTCATCTATATTTGATCTAGATATCAGGGGAAAATACTAGGCTATAAAATATAATATTTAAAGAAGAAGGCAATGGTCATAATAAACCACAGTAGAAGAAATCTAAACATATCCTCTATGTTGTATGCATGCATGAATATGTAATGATGAATCCCACTATTATGTATAATTATAACACATCAATAAAAATAACTTTTAAAGTCTTAAAGACAGTCTTCAACACACTCCCAGAAACCCCTGGTTGGTGGAATTATAATTCAAAAATTGATGCTCTTGCATATAATTATTAGGCTCCAACTAGCCTTACAGAGGGATGATTTTGATAACTGGATGACAGATCTTACAACATGACTAAGACAGACTTTAGGTAAGAGTCCTACCTTCATAAACTCTATTCTCAACTCCCTGCATTTTGGATGACATCATCTCTTTATAATAATGCTTTCTCCTGCTTTAAGTTATTTCTTTTTATTTAGATATCTCCCTAGAATCTAACTGACCTGAATATTAATTTCAAGGAACTATTAACTTATAATCTGAGAATCTTGTCCCTGTAAGTAAACAGCTTTAAACTGAAGAAATAGAAAATATTTTTTATATAATTTTGTCATATGATAAAAATATTTCTATCGATAGCTGATTTATCTTCTCTGTTATTTTATTCTTAAGCATTACAGGTATAATACCAACTGCAAAAGATCTCAAGGTTAAGTATTAACCTTGATGAGTATTAGTAACACCTTATCATGCACCTTCCATATAAAAAAAGAACAGTTAGTCTGTTGGAACAGACTATTATTGCAAAGTCTTAAGGTCCCCTGTCGGGTGATTTGGTGCTGATGTAAGTAAAATCCACGTAACCCAGATATAAAAATTCCGAAATATTTAACAGACTCTACAAACATTACACAAGTAGATAGAAGGGAACCACACACTAAATTTTCAAATACAAGTATATTTGGTTTCCATGACCATCCACGAAGAAATAGTTCTTCAATATTGACAAAAAAGTGTCTGCTTATAAGAAATTATAAATTTTCTCTGACTTATTGCCAGTAGAAAAAAATCCTCTGGAACTAATTGCTACCCTTCTAATATAGCAAATGAAATTATTTTTACTGTAGCAAGTTACTAAAGCTGTTTTGGGTCATTTCTCTTTTATGAACAGCTAAGAAAAATATGAGCCTTATATAGAAAAATATTCACACACAGAACAAAATTGTTTTGCATGATCATAAACTTACTACCAAACAGAGCAAGAGTCAGAGTCTCCAAAGCAGAATGTAGGGCCATCTAGGAGGACATTCAGTAAACCAAGAATGACAGGCTGAATGTTTGTGGCCCCATTCCCATCCCCCAAATTCTTATGTTGAAATCCTGTCCCACCAAGGTAATGGATTAGAGGTGTTTTGTTTTCCCCAGAAATGATTAGGTAGAGCCTTTAAGAATGGGACTCGTACCATTATAAAAGAGGCCAGAGGAAGACCCCCTCATCCTTCCCACCTCCACTATGCAAGAACACAGTAAGAAGCCAGTGGTCTACTACAGACCCTCACCAGAATATGACCCTGCTTGCACTCTGATCTCAAACTTTCAGCTTCCAGAACTATGAGAAGTAAATTCCGATTGTTTTTAAACTGCCCAGTCTCTGGGATTTTATGATTGCAGCCTGAACAGACTAAGCTACCCAGCACTGCTTTATAAAGGAAATCCCTTTTCACACTCTAAATTCAGCCACCAAGCTGGGATATTTTTATGTCAGATTCTTAACATCTTTATTTCAGAAAACAAATTAATCATATTCCTCGTATACACTGGGCATGAAAAGTTAACCTTAAATTGATATGAATGTTATTTTTATTTTTAGACAGATGAGAGGTTGATTATATGCAGAGCATAAACATCTAAAGACTTTTTGCCTCTAAGTTTTAAAGCAGGCACACTTAAGAATTGCTTTATCATTGAAGACTGAATCTCATTGAATTTGACTGTGGTGGGTGGGTGACAGCATCTCAATTTTGCATGTTTTCCCACCAGGGTCAGGCAGCCGGAAACATCAGCGTAGCACCAAAGATTCAACTGTGAGCTAGATTTGGCAAATCTTCTCATCAGATGTGTGCTTCATTCAGTTGCCTTTTGTTTGCCATTTGAGCATTGTTATGGTGGTGAGGTGTCCCCCAAAAGCTCCCATGTGAGACATTGCAAGAAGGTTCAGAGGAGAAATGATTGGGTTGTGAGTGCCTTAACCCAATCAGTGAATTAATCCCCTGATAGGGATTAACTGAGTGGTAACTGAAGTGGTGGGGTGTGGCTGCAGGAGGTGGGCACTGGGGGCGTGACTTTGGGGTATATATATTTGTATCTGGCAAGTGGAGTCGCTCTCTGTTCTTCCTGATCATCATGTGAGCTTGCTTGTCTCTACCACACTCTTCCACCATGATGTTCTGTCTGCCATTGTCCATGGACTGAGACCTCTGAAACTGTGAGCCCCCAAATAAATCTACAATTGTGCTGGTTGGGTCTTTTAGTCACAGCAGCAAAAAAGTCGACTAAAACAAGCATGGATGACTGTAAGGCCACCAGATATAAGTGTGCTCTTCTCTGGAGATGTTGGGAGCCACATCACATTCCCAGTATGGCTTCCTATTCATCACCAATCGTCAAATACCTGGTGATATCTTCAGATAGCTGAGCAGGGTCTGGTGGGTAAAATTTCACATTAAATGAAAACTGCCAAGCACCACCTGTAAGGATAGAAGGTGGGGGAATCAGATTAAAACCTTAGAAAACTCCCCTAGACTTAGGATTCTAATTGATAGCTAGAACCATCTCAACTCTAAGCATTAACAGCCAGGCAGCTTTGATCACTAATAGAAAACAAGGACATCTCTGTTAAATGAAATCCACAGATAAGTCTGAAACCTCATCTAATTTCTAATCTTCTCTATTATCAAATCCTTTACTGGTCCTTCTAACTAGAAAGGAAATTGACGGAACTTCCTCTTTCCCAGGATCAAAGATAAGCCTCAGGAAGAAGTTGGGGGAGGGAAAGTGAATGATATGGATAATCCTCTATCAGATAAGTCTGGAAATGACGAGATTTAGTGCTCAGAATTTCTGGAGAGCTCACATACCAAGGCTATGGACCCAATTCCAATTTTCTTTGCGCTTCATTGTGTTGTTACAGGTCAGATCCTATTATAATAAATGTCAAGGGACTAGTCAACACAATTTATTTTATGGAAAGATTTGTTGTGGTGAATACTGCTTTCATAAGTGGGCTGCTCTGCTGGATGTGAAATGTTCTTTTTTATTTTTTATTTAAGAAAATTTTTGATGCAATACATACCTGGCCATGCATTACCCAATTTTACACCCCTTTAGTCCATGACTTGGGCAGATCTTTACAATACCACTCTTTATCCTGCAGTATCTACTCTAGCAGCTGAAAGGGTCTACGAGATGTTCCTTCACAGGTACCTAACTCTCTGCATTGGCTACCATTATCCTTGAAACATTATTTAGCCTTAACTAAGCTCCATATCTCATCAATACCATCTTTAATTGTGAATGGTTTATCAAAATAAATAAGAATAAACCTCCTTTTCTCCTCTTATTTTATCGGTGTGAAAACTCCTTTAACTTATTCATATTGTTATTTTGGCTTCTCAATGTATTAATTTACCAAAGTTTGAATATTTCTTCTCTGTGACACTATTTATAAATAATTTTTACCCTCCACCCCATAAACACATTAGAAGTTCCTCTGGCCCTGCTTATGTTCTGAATGGACTACCAGAAAAGTCTTCCCAGGCTCACTGGCTTCTATCCATGGGTGTGTTCTGAAGCCATGCTTCTGTGACCTTACAGAACAGCACTTATGCTTCAGGTACTCTCTCAAGACTTCCAAATGCTCTCCCCATCCCAATTAAATGACTTTGGAAACTTCATTTTTTCCCTAGAAGCACCTCCCAACACTCTCCAAAAAAAAGGTACAGTAAAGTTAAATATTTCTTAGCTGCTTTCTTTGTACTGTTTCTTGCATGTGTGGCAACACTTAGCTTCTTCAGGACCCTATGTTTCTGTCATAAAATACACAGACCCATTTATTCTTTCTAGTTTATTCTTGATGCTATTATTTATACCACACTTGAGATTCCACATGCCAAGAACTCTACTATAAAGGACTTAGCATAGGATCAGATATTATTGGGTAGTTAATATCATAGTGTAAACCAGTCAAAATATTACTCAAATATGGGCTATAAGAATTATAAGCCAAAAAATATCTGTTAATCAAATATATTTCTAATGGTTGTTTTTTCCACTGTTCTTAAAAAAAAATCCTTTTCTTATTCTAAAATTAGTCTGATTTGGTTTTACTTTCCTATTGATTCCTGCTCACTTCCTACTAAAATAGATCCCTTTAACGCTTGCCAGTAGGAAGACTCATAACAAGAGCTGGCTTTCCCTCAAGTGAAATTAAAAGTAATGGATTAGTTATGGGAAACGGATTTATTGCTCTTTTGTAATTTTCATCAACTTCAAAGTATGCCTCGACTCCAATGAATAGTCTGGCAATGTAATTAAAATAATCTTATAATAAACTCAGGGTAAAAATTCTAAGTTGGAAAACAGTAAGTAATAAAAGCATAAGCAACCCATTTCAATGCAAAAATCCTCATTTTAGGAAAGTATGTTGCAAATAACAGTGGGCCTAAAAAGAAACTGAAATAACATGTTAAAAATGCCTATTTCTAGGCTCTATTCCAGAGATTTTTATTCCTGAGACTTGGAATATGGTCTAGAACTTGTAATTTTATTAATATCTTTTGTGCTTTTGACGGAGGTAGACTTTGGAACCACAGTGAAAATCACTACTACTAAGAAATCCAAATGTAAGGTTATAACCCAAGCAACTACAAGGTCTTTCAGGGCATTATTTTGAAATGATGGGAAAGTTTATGGAAACTACAATCTACATTCCAATCAAGAAAAAAGTCAGTGAAATAAGGCATAAAACCTGGGATTAATGAGAAAAGAAGATGAAGCTCAAATACACATCCTTGTAAAGAAAGTGGCAGAAACAAATAACTCGGGAGGGTGCACTTATGCGATGAGTGACTTGTAGACCCACATCTGCTCAGATGAGGGCCCTGATGAGAAACAGGAAATGAAACAGCTGGAACACATTAAAACGAATATTTCTATAATGCTGATGTAGGATTTTTAAATTGTAAATTTATGATAAACAGAAAAGGCATTGAAGGGAGTTCATTCTTACAAAAAATTTCTAATTTTACTCTCCTAAAGCAGGCCAAATCTTAAAAGTTCATTTATATCATGAAATTACTATAGACCATATATTCTATATCATAAAATTACCATATTTTAAATATTCTTTACTTATGATAAAAAATATAGTATTTTTAGAGGTTTTTAAGATCCGGCATGCATTAAACATGACTAGAGTTAGAGTTTTTTGTTTTTTTTATTAAGAACAAACTTTTTGGTTTTAAAATTTACCATGTATCACAAATTTGTAACTTAAAATGTATATCAGATTGATCTCCGTTCTCTAACTGATCTCTACTAGAGTCTACTATGGACCTACAGAATAAAAAAGGATCCTTTGTCATCTCTGGGAAGAAATGTGTGATGGCAAATGATTATATAATATAACACCTCTCTGCTCTGGTGGGAAGAAATTTTGTGGAAAGAGGACATTTTAGTAGATAGGAAACAAGAAGATAGAAAAAAAATACTAAATTATACTCTTAATAACTTCCAATTTCCTTTGGCTCCTCTCTTGCAACAAAGCTTTTTTTTAAAAAAATTTATGATTCACATGACTTCCTAACCTGCATGGTAAAAAAAAATATCATTTACATTTCATACTTAGATTATCATTTTAAATTTTGTGTCTCAAGAAGACAGGAGACAGCATAAATGGAAAAGTAAGGGGGAAAAAGAAATTCTACTAACAATATGCAAAAAAGTTTATACCACCTTTCTTGTAACAGTATTACAACTTATTCTTGAGCATTTTACATATTTTCAAAGCACTTTGCAATTACTGATTGCCTGGACATTTTATTAGTAAGATGTACACAAGATAACATTATGCAAAACACTATGATATATATTCTTCACATCTGCTTTTAATAATGCCATATAAAACCTTTAGAACACATCTGTCATCATAAAATTTTTATTAGGATTCCTTGGAACAAGAAAAAAAGTGTTTTGATCTATTTATCAACAGTAGATATTCCTGTCTTCAATCTCAAACTACTTCCATCCAATTAATTGATCAGTGGATACACTGAGTCTCTCTTCAGAATATGGTAAATGAAGTTGAATTGTATAAATAATCAACAGACTCTCTAACATCTAGAAGACAGTGACTTTTGGAGGGATGTTATCTAAAATCAAACCATTTCTAACTGCTTATTACCAATTGTTTTATTAGTACTTGGGTTATTTTTATATCTCAGGACTTTCAAAGGCACTAAGAAGTATTTTCCTCTCTTTTAACAGTAAACTCTTTGAAAACTTAAAATGGAAGGATATTCCCATTAATTATTTGATCTTAAATTTATTCTTTATTCTTCAACTTGAATTAGTTATTCAGGATAATTAAGCTAATTATCCTTAGTTTTATTGATAAAAATACGAACCATTTTTTAAAAAAAGTAGTTATTTACAATAAAGATTTTCCATGCTTATGGCAAATGTAATAGCTATAGAGAATGTTAAAAAATAAAACTAGCAAACCTCCTTTCTCAATTGTGCAGGCCATTCCTGGAGTTAATTCCTGTTAATCTGTCATGCTTTCTACAAATATCCCATGCTTCTATATAAGCATAACATTTTATTTGTGATTTTTGGTATTGAGGACTGAACTCAGGAAAGCTTTATTATCACTGAGCCACATCCCCAGTCCCCCATTTTTCCTATGTGCATTATGTTTTTTTATTAATTTGTTATATATCGTCTATATATGACAGTAGAGTATATTTGGACATATTATACATACATCGAATATATTTTATTCTAATTAGGACCCTACTCCTACGGTTGTACATGATGTGAAGCTTCACTGTGGTATATTCATATATAAACATAGGAAAGTTATATCTGATTCATTTCATTTCCCAGTCCTTTTCATTTTTAATCAGACAGCATCTCATTAGGTTACTTAGGGCCTCACTAAGTTGCTGAGGCTGGCCTTAAACTTGTGATCTTCCTGCCTCTGCCTCCCAAACAGCAGGTGTGTGCTACTGCACCCGGCTCTATGTATGCATAACTTTTAAAAAGCAAATGTGATTATATTACAGATATGATTTTTCAACCTGATTTTCACTAATAAACCCAAAGACATCTGTCTATGATTATTCCCTGATTGATTTAATCATCTTTATAAATGGGTATTTAACTTGCCTCTAGTTTCCTGCTACTGCAAACAGCACTGTAATGAACTTTCACTTGTGTACACACTTGCATTTTTTTTCTCTAACACATATGCTGAATTAATTTCTTCAAGTAAAATGGAAGGTCAAGGAGTAGGTACATTTTAAATTTTAATAAATACTGACAAACTGCTCCCTTGGGAGGTTGCACCAATTTATACTTCTACCCGTTGGGTTCTTAGTAGTCAGTGCAGTTATTATTAAACATATTAAACTTTTAAAATCTTTGTTAATCCAAACAGATGGAAAATGATTTCTCAGGTTAAAATGCATTTGGTCATTAGATTTAGCAACTTAATAATGCTTATTGGCCACTTATGTTTCAATTTTGAGATGTGCTCATGGAATTTTTTATATATTCATTAAAATATATATTTCCCTTTTTTTGGGGAAATATATATTTATTAATTCACTTTCAGGGACTAAGAAAAGAGGTTGTCACCAGACAATAAACTTCGTTCTGATTTGTTATTCCATCTTTAAAGTATCAAATGACTACTGCTTTTAGCTTGGTTTTTAAGTGTTTGTGACAATTAGGCTTAATACAACATTAATAATTAAATTTGGAACTTTTAATGATTAACTGCCAACGGAGCATGACATAATTAAATCATACATTTCACATGGGTGTACAGGCAGAGGAATAGGTCAAGTGTCAAAGTTATTTTAATTTGAGTTATAATGACAAAAAAAATGGGTTCTGTCTGAGCTGGATCAATGTGCCAGATCAAATATGAACTTGTAATCTGTCTTTCAAAAACCTCTATTCACATTGGCCACTTGGGTATGAGCTACCAATTCAGATTAAGCGGCTCTCTTAAATATCTTTACCTTGCCACGTAAAATAATACAAAAGAACTTACTTCGAATCTGTTTTTTAATTTCCTTAGCAGGGTCCAACCAATTCTGCAAAGGAAATAACATTATGAATTGGAATCAGAGAAGAATAAAGGTGATTTAATGTTGCTTTGATACAGACATTCCCACAATGCTTTCCCCACCCTTCCCTCAATTCTGGTGGCCTCCGCCTGGCCCTGCCCTGTGAGGGTCTGGACACTGGTCTAAGGAGAAAATACGCACATGTGCCTTCATGCTTGACATTTTTCTTTTACAACCATTACCTTCAGGGATCTCTGCTAGCACAGACACAGAAGGGCAAAAAATGGGAGAAGATCAGAATTCAAACAAGTTTCCAAAATAAATTAAAAGATTTACATATCCTGACACCCACTGGCTCTAGACATTCATTTCTAAGTTAGTGACTTATATCATCACAGATGCTTAGGCATCTTCTTAAACCTTTTCTAACAAATGAATACTTGTTTGAGATCAGTGGTCTTCCTCATTACAGAAGCCAGATGTTTAATAATGAAGTCAGACATTGTCTAGTAAATTCAGTAAGAATGAGTCTGACACCACAATAGTAAGCAACATCTATGAGCAAAACTTATGTGACTTAGTTTTTAGCACTAGTACAATGGAAACAATCTTCTCCTTATTTTTCAGGTAGTTGTGGGGAAAAGTTTTAAACAGATGACTTTCCTCAGGTGTAAGCACCTATAGAGGTATTGCCTTAAATATTAAGAACTTATGGAATTATAGGTATCAGGTTAGCAAATGCACCACCTCCTATTTTGATTCGGTAAGAAAATGAAAATATAAGAAGATGAATCAAGAGGAAGACAGGAGCCCCAGTAGTGAACTGTTCTAACAGTTTATGTTACAACTGTAATATCTTCATAGAATTTGAGGGCATGAACACGTTTTCTTCATAAAAATCAAAGTGTATTTCTTGGGCTCAAAATTCCACTGAAATATATATTATCTAAAAAAAAACACCAAATAAAATACTTTGCTGGAGCCATAAATAACTCAAGGATGAAAAACAGAAGAGCTGACTTACTGTTTTCAAGATATTCAAGAATAAAGGAATCTGGCCAGGATTTCTTTCATGAAGAAAAGGGGTGAGGAACAGTATTTGGGGATGCTAAGTCATAAAAGTAGGCGTGTGAGGGAGGGTGGCCAAAGTGATCAACCCTTCTGGATTTTCCTGGGGGAGCAATTCAAGCCACAACAGTTCGTACTGGTCTTCTCTCTCACCTTCTGATTTTCAGCATCTCGATACGTGAGGCCAAAGTAGTCCTTTTCTAGCAGGTTCAGGTGTTCACACACTTTGTCAAACAGCACTTGCCCTCTGGAGCGTTTCTATGGAAACAACAGAAAAACAAGTCAACATCCACAAGGAAGTTCTCCCAATTGGAACAAATAAAACTTGGTAAAACTTCAGACGCTGTGTGCTGCCACTGTTCACGTGTGTTCACACCATCATCTCCTGTTGAATAAAAAGGCTACCTACAAAGTGGGGCCTCGACTTATAAAAGCCGACCCCAACAGACAAAGAATAAAACCAAATGTCAATGGTGTCACTGAGTACAGGTGACTAGGATGGGGAGTGATTCCTAAACAGAGATGATGTGATGCTCGGAAGCCTCAAATATTGTGAAATATAAAAATCCTGATGGTGAAAGAGGATCCACAATGGCCATGTTTTGGATGCCCCACCTACGCTCCCTAGGCTGTAAGATTCCAAGCCCAGAAACATCAGCCCTGCTTCCTGTTTTAGGCAGAACCTCATTTAGAACTTTCTATTCTAATCCTTACTCAGAAAGTCGAAGGGTCATTTTCTAAAGTCCATTAAACTAAGTTAATTAGTTAATTTCTGGTTTTGTGCCATGAATTTCAGTAGGGTGTTCAAATTTCTCTTAATTTCTGTGAGAACAAATACTTCTTATTAAACATCATAAAACATTCATTAGGTTTCAAGATTTTAATTATCCTATATAAACAGAAGATCTAGATATCTATGCTATATTTTGGACCATCAAATAGTCCTAAGAATGGAGAAGGGGAAATGTACTCATAGTGCGAAAATCCATCCCCTTAATTGATCTACTGCTTCAAAGGTCTTTAAACATGGCTTTGAAGTCTGCATTGGATTAACTGGCAACAATTAAGCTAAGTTCCCTTTTTGTTTGTGTGGTACTAATACTTTACATCTAATATGCTCAGCAAATTTGTCCTTAAGATTTAGTATGTTAACAATGAGACATATGAAAATTGATAAACTATGTTCATGCCAAAATAATGAGCATTCAAAAGACCTGTAGGTGGTATCTATTACTGTGTGACTATAATTATTTTGAAAGTTAATTACTCAGTCCCCTCAAGCATGACTGTTTAGGGAAAAGGATACATTTATGATAGGAGAGCAAAGCCTAAATTGTAGCTAGCTAAATAATCAATGATGCATTTGAAAAAAAAAAAAAACTACCATAAAGGATGAAAATAAATAACTTGTTAGCAAAACTACATAACATTGCTCATTGGCTATGAATAAATGATACAACAATGAAATGCTCCTTCATGGTTTAAATCCTTATTTATAAACAATACCAAGTTATTTTCTTTTTTTAAAAAAATCTTTTTTAGTTGTTCAATGCACCTTTATTTTATTTATTTATATGTGGTGCTGAGAATTGAACACAGTGCCTCACACATGCTAGGTGAGCGCTCTACCACTGAGCCACAACCCCAGGCCAGCAAGTTATTTCGGAGTAGTACTTGACAAATTTTTAAAGTTTTCACAAAATCTGGTTCTTCCAGTGCTTCTCTAGGTATTATCTACAGTTCACAGATAAGAACAGAGGTTCAGAGAAGCTGGATGAGAGGGCAGTATTATGCTAATGGCTATGGGTGGTAGCTTTAGAATCAGATCAAACCTGGGTTTGAATCTTCAGTATTCCCTTGCAGTTAATGTGAACCTCTGTTTCCCCACTATAAAGCAGGCAAGGACATCACATACTTCTTTGGAATGGCTGACATTAAAATAATGTATTCAAAGTCCACTGTTGGCATATATCATGCATTCCATGAATGTCGGTCATTATTATGGCCCAGTGACTGATAAATGGCAGACTGTTAAATGCAGAGCATGTTATAATGCACGTTTTCTGTAGGGACCATGAATACAAGTCCTGGGGATACCAATGAACTGATTAATATTAACACAGTCTACTCCTACTTTTCTTCTCCTTTATTTCCATATCTCTATTATTATTATTATTTATCGGTACCTCATAATCATACATTATAGTGGGATTCTTATGATATATTTGTACATGCATATAACAACTTTATCCATTTCATTCCCTAGCACCTTCCCTTCCCCACCTTCACCTGCTCTACTCTACTGATGAGATGGCAATCATTAAGAATACACATAACAATAATTGCTGGTGTGAATGGAGGGGAAAAGGTACACTTATACATTGCTGGTGGAATTGCAAATTGGGACAACCATTTTGGAAAGCAGTATGGAGATTCCACAGAAGACTAGGAATGAAAACCACATATGACTCAATTATCCCACTCCTTGGTATTCATCCAAAATAACTAAAATCAGCATGCTTTTGTGATACATGCATACCAATTGAATTCAAAAGTGCATGGGAAGGCCCCCATTCACTTGCTCTACTCTACTGATCTCTCTTCTATCATTATTATTATCATTTTAGTGCACTCGTGTGTGTGTGTGTGTGTGTGTGTGTGTATATATATATATAAAAACAGGATTCACAGGGCTGGGATTGTGGCTCAGAAGTACAGCACTCGCCTAGCTCGGGCGGGACTTGGGTTCCATCCTCAGCACCACATAAAAAAATAAAGGCATTGTGTTGTGTCCATCTACACCTAAAAAATAAATATTAAAAATAAACAGGATTCATTGGAGTATATTCATATGTGGACACAGCATAATTTTATAGATTCCATTCATTCTCCAGTACTTCCTCATGCCATCCTCTTCTCCCTCTCTCTCGGTTCCTTTCCTCTACTCTATTGGCATCCCTTCTATTTTTATGAGATCCCTTTTTTTATACCTACCCCCAGCTTCTGCTAATGAGAAAAAAAAATTCAATCCTAGACTTTCTGAGTCTGGCTTATGTCACTTAGTTGGATGTTCTCTAGTTCCATCCATTTACCAGCAAATGACATAATTTCATTCTTCTTTATGGCTGAATACAACTCCACTGTGTATATATACCATAATTTCTTAACCTATTCATCTGTCAATGGGCACCTAAGCTGGTTGCATAACTTGGCTATTGTGAATTTTGCTGCTATAAACATTGGTATGCATGAATCACAAAAGCATGATGATTTCAGTTATTTTGGATACATACCAAGGAGTGGGATAGCTGGGTCTATGTAGTTTCCATTCCTAGTCTTCTGTGGAATCTCCATACTGCTTTCCAAAATGGTTATCCCAATTTGCAATTCCACCAGCAATATATAAGTGTACTTTTACCCTTCATTCACACCAGCAATTAGTGTTATCTGTATTCTTAATGATTGCCATTCTAACTGGAATAAAATGAAATCTCAGTATAATTTTGATTTGCATTTCCCTGATTGCTAAGAATGTTGAACATGCTCTTTCTTCAAATGTCACCTGCTTACTACCTAATTGCTTCAGCTAGAACACATTACTTACGCATGCACATGGGTGCACGTGCTCATACACACACACACACACACACACACCAATAACTGCCCACGTACTTTCTCAGTGAGTAAACAAAAACCAAATGCAAATACAACAACTTCACAAGGCTTTGCTTGATTCTACACCTCCTCTGAACCACCAGATCAGAGCCAGCCTTCAAAACAAGAATTTTTTCGGAATGTGTCACAGGCAAACCTGGTCATCAATTTCAATTAGCTGTCTTCTGGTCTATTCTTCCTTTTGCCTAACAGGCAACATGGATTAGCTCAAGCAGAGACTACTAGGATGACTCCTATTTTTCCTGTTTCCCAGAATTTGATTTCTGTTAAAAGACTCAGTGCTCTCTGAAATAGACCATATCCTTTCTTACTGAGTATTTTAAACATTTGAATCCTATAGTCTTTAAGAAAATGACAGAGTGGTCCATTCCTTATACTGGAGATACTTTTTTTCTGGCCCTCAGAACCCAGATCAGTTGTCTAGAATCTACTGTAGAAGCCTATTATGGACTGGAAACAATGATATTCCTATTAAACATCAGCATGGCTACCAACTAGGTGGGTTACTTCGGGAAAGGCTCTTAAGTCATTTGAGTCTCCATTTTCTCTTCTTTGAGCAAGGATGTAAGACTCTGTAGAGCAAGCAGAGTACGGGTTCAAGACTATAACTGGGTCTTGCTGATGGCAAACTATTAATGGATAAGAGTACTCTTTTCCCAGGAGTCCAGATGGGGCTTTAGTACCCTTCTGCACATAGCAATGACAAAAATTCTGCCAATGGATGGAGATAGAGCATCTCTTGAAACCCACTTTCTAGCCCTGGAATGGATCCCCTCTGCAATCTCTCCCAACTCTAAACATTTCTCTACTCTTCTAACTCAGATGGTTTTCTCCTAGCTTTGGAAGTCAAGTATTTCTAGTTGTTGACATCTGTAGGTACCTACAGATAATAACCTTATGACTAAAGCTCAACATCCAGATTGGAAAATTTGGAGAAATTACATTAAATATTACAGTTCTCAAAGATATCACTTGATAAGTGATCAAATCTAAGTATCTATCTTACTACTAATTAGATATAATGGCTATATATACCCATGAGTCAAAAAACGACACAGTATTCTGAATGGATACTTTAACCAGATAAAACTAAGAGTTTTCAGTCTTGTGGTTTCTGGTGAGTTAAGTCATCTTTGGCTTAAAGGCATCCCCAGTTCACATATACTTTTACTAGGCAATCATCCAGAAAAGGCAGTTTTACTTTCCTGGAGTGACAAGCACAAAGGTGGCCTGCTCTCTTCCTGGAATTTCACCGGACCACCTGTATTTCTCTTTCTTGTATAGTAAATGAGGATATTACAACCTAACAATCTGGAGGGCTTTATCTTAAAAACAGCACACTCCCAAGCAATGTAAATAAGCTTCACTCTTAACTATTAGCATTTTTCTTTAGGGGCTGAGGTTGTAGTTCAGTGGTAGAGCATTTGCCTAGCATGTGTGAGGCATTGGGTTTGAGCCTCAGCACCACATAAAAACATAAATAAATAAAGTAATGTTATTGTGTCCACTTACAATTAAAAAAGTTTTTTAAAAAATAATTTTTCTTTAATTTAAATTTTCCAAATTGACATGCAATTTGGTGT